AAAGACACACTGGCAAGAACCTACTCGCGCCGCTTACACAACATAGCGGATGGCGGGAGGTTTGGATCCAAAAATGGCGCGGCTCGCCAGCCGCTCTCCGCGTAAAGGGGTACACGCACCGCGGAAAGTGAGCATTCCGGTTTCGGCAGGGTAACGGGGAAACGCGTAAAGTGGGACCGCGTAAAGCGAGGGTTGACTGTACAGTATTATTTTCGCATTTTCGACTTGCGACCCAGTCGCCGGTCCCTAACCCCGTCGTAAGTCGGGGACTGACTGTATATGTATATGTGTACGCATGCACGCACACACAGCTCCTCCCCAACTTACGACGGGGCTAGGGACCCAAATCCAGGCCGTAAGTCGAAAATGCTTAAATAATACATAGAAAATCTAAAATGGGTGTCTCTTTTTCTTCTCAGCACCACAAAACTCTCACTTTTAAGCTTGTCAGCTATTTAAAGTGAATTACAAACGAAAATTTTGTCTGTGTACTGACGTTGGGACTCGAAAATACGTAATTTGACAAAATTTTGGTAAGACTGAGGCAGGTCGTAAGTGCGGGTGGTCATAAGTCGAGTAGGTTGTAAGTCGGGGAGGAGCTGTATATAAATCACTGTAGGTGCATGTGATCAATGTTTCCTTGTGGTTATCAGCATATTTATGCATGTGTGTGTGTCCAGACATTCAGGAAGACCGGACCCCTTTTCCCCCAAATTGTCCGGACTTTCGAGGATTTACTGTATAACGTCTTGAACATTACCAGCACACGGCCAAGATCAAACTCAATATAATGCTCTTTCACTATAAGGAGAACTCCAATGTGTAGATAAAACACTCTTATATACCCTAATGAAAACAATTAAATTTAATTAAGCATGAAAATAACCATAAAGAGTTGTACATTTATTGAAAGAATCCTACAGAAATATTAAAATTTCCCTGTAAGTTATACACCATTTAGTTTTAAGTTATAAGTAAAAGTTAAATTTTCTCTTTTCAAAAAATTAAATAAAGATACATGATCAAATCCTAATACAAACTGTACATTTATTGATTTCTAATAAACTTCCCAATCTTATATATGATGGCCAGCATTGTCCTGACAGCATAACAGCAATGGTGTATGAATTAGGAACATATTTTATAAATAATATATTTTTCAAGAATATCAATTGGTTAACAAAACCTAAAATGTCACCTGTAAAGAAGAACCCTGGAGGATATATACATACCGGTACGTATATATAAACCACAATTTCATAACCTGTTTTTTTTTCTATATCTACTGTGATTTACCATATTTTAATTGCGTGTATTTATTAACCAAAATAGGAATCTTTTTACAAGTCACAATCTTGTACATTTACTCATTGTTTCTGTCTCTTTGCAGGCGGTGGGGGCATCAAATCCCTGTCTGGTTTCTTGTAGCCATGATCGTTTATGAATTTCAGGAGAATATCTTGAGTCACAGGGTTTTTTATACTATTACACACAGCTGAAAATGCATATAAATAGATTAGGGAAAAACAAACCAAAGAAGGTAAAAATGGGGATGTAGTGCGGGAATAGTGATGCAGAATATAGGAAATACACAAGTGAAGAAATATACAAATTAAAGAAGTGTTGGAGAGAGGTAGAAAAGGGTTTACATACAGTGAACCCTCGCTTTACCCGGTTTCACTTTACGCGTTTCTACATTTACGCGGTACCCTGCCAGAACCGGAATTCCCACTTTACGTGGTGCATCTACTCATATACGCTGGTGAAGTATAATTTTTTTATTTAGCTCATAAAATTCATACAAATTACCCAGCCAGAATATAATTTACATTGCTGGAATTCTTACAATTTGATGATAATTTTGAATATAAGCATCATAGATTTTGCATTAGACATACAAATTTTAGATCTAATGCAAGTATTTTGTTCACTCAGAGCAAATATGTTATCTTTTGTGCAAAATATATGACGTGTATATTCAAAATATTCCTGGTCTTGCAAGGAATCCAGCAATGTCAATTATATTATCCTATCTTTAGTCTGAGGTATTATTTATTACTAAAAATGTAAATATACTGTTATAACCCAATCATTTCTCTGGTAGGGAGGGAAGGTGGGAGGGAGGGAGGGAGCAGGTGGGAAGAGGGGGGGAGGTGGGGTATTTTGATTGACAGATAGTATTTGGGTAAGTATATTTTGTTTATTTATTGAAGATATTTGTTTTAGCTCATAAAATTCATACAAATTACTGGGCCAGAAAATAATTTACATTGCTGGAATTCTTACAATTTGATGATCATTTTGAATATAAACATCATAGATTTTGCATTAGACATACAAATTTTAGATCTACTGTAAGTATTTTGTTTACTCTGAGCAAATATGTTATCTTTTGTGCAAAATATATGACATTTATATTCAAAATATTCCTGGTCTTACAAGCAATCCAGCAATGTGAACTATATTATCCTAACTTTAGTCTGAGGTATTATTTATTACTAAAAAGGTAAATATTCTGGTTTCTCCCAAACATTTCTCTGGTAGGGAGGGAGGGATCGACCCAGCTGGCGTGGTGGGAAGAGGGGTGTTTTAATTGAAAGATAGTGTCGTGAAGAATATTTTTATTTTTTTTTTAACTGAAGATATTTGTTTTAGCTCATAAAATTCATACAAATTACCCGGCCAGAATATAATTTATTTTGCTGGAATTCTTACAATTTGATGATCATTTTGAATATAAACATCATAGATTTTGCATTAGACATACAAATTTTAGATCTACTGTAAGTATTTTGTTTACTCTGAGCAAATATGTTATCTTTTGTGCAAAATATATGACATTTATATTCAAAATATTCCTGGTCTTACAAGGAATCCAGCAATGTCAATTATATTATCCTAACATTAGTTTGAGGTATTATTTATTACTATACCTTAAAATCTAGTGGTTTTCCCCCAAACATTTCTGAGAGAGGGAAGAGCCAGCAGTGTGAGAAGAGGGGGAGGGAGTCGAGTCCATTATTTGAATGGACATTAACTTGGCGACTGTGTTTCTCAATTTCTCTTAAATATTAATTGTGTGCATGTACCATCATAAAATTAAGATGTTATTTTTACTAGAACATAGGTATTGTTTCGGAAAAAGTGGAGTTTGGGGGTCAGCCAGTCTCTATTTCATTTAATCCCATATGTTATGTTGTTCACTTTATGCGTTTCTCACTTTCCGCGGTACCCCGTGGGTTGAATTAACCGCGTAAAGTGAGGGTTCACTGTATAGCGTTTCTCACTGTTGATTTTTTTTCATTCTTGCATTTTCTTTGTATTCATTATTATCACAGTGTTGTTATTATTATTATTATTACCATTAATATTTTATTTTACTTTTTATTATAAATTTTATTTACTATGAATTATTATTATTATTAAATTTTCGCCCTCCGGGCCCTGATGTGGGTCAGTGACCTGTGCCCGGGTGGGCTAATCCCCATAAAAAAACAAAAAAACAACAATGACGAAAACAATCGACTTTCGCTTTGTTTCGTTGTTCAAAAGATGTTACCATAATCGCTTTTCGAATGGTTTTCAGTTAAAAACTGTTGTATTACAATAATATTCCCGCCTAATTGATTTGAATAAATACTTGAATGGAAATATACAATATTTTTGTTGAGACTACCGCGTTTCAGTGTAAAGTGTCGTAATAATAAATGATAAACTATTTGCCTTCGGCACTCGGTGTTTCAGGCACGGCGAGCCTCAGTTTATAGGACATAGAGTGTTTTTACTGAAGGTTTTGTTGTTCCATTACCCTCAAAAACTTGGATCGACCTATAAACGAGGAATATCATAAATTAACGATTTCTTGGTCAAAAAATCAGGGTCGACCTATAAACGAGGGGGGGTTATAGACGAGTATATACGGTAAGTCAAGGGATGTTTGTCCTGGGAACTGGTAGTGCAACAATGGTAAAATGAGTGTATAATTCAGAGTTGGATAGCTGGTAAGAGAGGGGAAGACCTTGATAATGGGAAGGCAGATATAACAGAAATGAGGAGATGATGAACACACAGGAAAAAGTGGTGTGAATAATCAATAATCATGGTGTCAAGTGGTGATGCCAAGTTGTGTGAAGTGATGAATGTACCAGGTATATATTTTGGGTTTGGTTGTGAAAGGAGAATATCACATTAATATTGTACACGTGTTACAGTAGTAAGATAGAATGAATGGCAGGAGAGTCTATATTTGCTTGGTGTTAGCCACTCTTGTATTAAGCAGGAAAAAGCTCGCAAAAGTGAAAAAAGTCATCAACTTTGAAATAAACCACTTATCAGTCTTGGTACCCTTGTGTTAATGGGAAATGGTATTTGCCTTTAATTAAGCTGCCTAGTGTAAAGCTCAGCTAAATATTTGGATTTCAGGCACAATCCTTTTGTCTACTAATTTTGAAATGTTAATTAATTTCAGACCTTCTTATTGTTGTTTACAGCAGATTGTACTCAACTTTGTATTTAATCTGACTTTTATGTTTATTTTATAATTTTTCACTCCTTGGATGAACAATAATAAACAATGAAGTTCAATGTGCATGACTGATGTTTTTAAAGCATGTACCCCAACAAAACTTAAGACTATATGTATACCTGCTCTAAGCAAGAGTTTCACTGCAATTAAACTCCAGTTATTAGTATTTTCTGCAAGAAGCTATGCAATGTTGCCATCAAAATATGTCTCCTGCTCTTCAAAATTATTATTAGATTACTTTACAAATAACCTACCAACAGCTGTGGTGTAACTATTGGGAAAAGACTTGTCAGTACGTTCTCTCATAAATGTCCAATGATTGTTTTCAAACTTGCATTCTATAATCTTGTTATGATAGTCCTTCATTGATTTGTTAACCTTCATCTCTCCAAATGGACGGTCAAACGCACCTACCCACAGTTCTCCCACTGTCTCGGGTAGCATCCTGAAATATTGAGAAAAAAATATATATATATTCTATTCATAGTTTTGGAGAAGGAAGCAGTCAAGAGAGTGGCTCTGACATTTGGCATTGGAAGAAATGGATGGAAAATATACTACGCTTACATACATGGTCCCTACATGAAGTGCATCAGCAAACTTGTCACCTCCCAAACATATACTGTACACATTTTTTCTCTAGTTTTTCAACTAGAGGATCTACAGCTACTTTGGCCTATCAGGCCCTCCTACTAATGTACTGTTAACCGGACCAAAAACATACATCTGCAATACCCACATCACAAGAAGACATTGGTAAATATATAATAACTGCCCCCAGTGGCTTCACCAAAGCCACAGACAATATAATCAACAGCTGACATGAGACAATGTTCCCACCAACAATTCCACACCCCAAACACAACACAAAAACAGTATGTGTATATGAGAGATGTTGATAATGGCATTTTCAACTAAGTAATAAGAATTCCAAAATTTCCTAATTAAATAAGACATAGCAATAGCACTTACTAAAGTCAACAAACTCTCTCTCACCTTAAATTACATAAACTCCTCAAACTACACAATCATAAGCCACTACTTATAATTCTCACAAAGAAAATATACCTTTCATAAACAAAACAAATGCAAAATGTTAAAACTGGACTCATAGACTGTTATCCCGCTGGCTTCAACTACAGTGCTAGCGTTGCCTTACCCGAACAAACATTAAATCCCTCAGCCTGCGACCACGTGCACTGCCCCCCCCCCACCCCCACGTGACCTGTGACCTCGCCAGATGTGGTGGCTGGGGAGGAGGGGCAGTGTTTACAGACAAGAGGCCCTGATTCTGCTGAGTGTATGGTTTTGTTATCGCCGCTGGCTTCAGCTACAGTGCTGGCGTGTGATGCTATTAAATCTTTCGACCTGTGACCTCGCCAGATGGGGCATCAAACATTATGGGCGAATATAACTGCGTAACTAGCAGAATGAAAGTTCAAATGCTTGGCATTACCATATTTAAATGTGTTGCACGTACAGTAGTATGCATCTCTGTGCCAGCGAAGCAGTAAAGATATGGTCACATACTCAAGAAGATTGTTAAGAAATGTCTACATTTACCTTTCCCAGAGTGCCAAAAGGAAATGCGAGTTTAGGAATTCCAGGGTTTTGTCAACTCAAACCACACAAATATTTCATGCCTGTGCCACGAGGTAGTTGTCACTCCATGAAGCTGTTGCAAGAATGCTCGAACAGTGGCAACCCCTTCATACTGTATTCCCACATCAGGGTAATTAAGGAGAGACTTTTGTTCTGCTACTTGAATTTTGAATTACATATTGCCGCAACTCAACACAATAAACTTGATTTTCCAGAGTGAAGCCCCAACTTTGCATTTAATCCGTAAAGCATATGTCAACTGCATCTGTTATTGCTAAACTCCTTTTGCCATTTACATAGTGTGTCAAACTCCAAATGCATGGTAATGATCCAACCGATGATTCCCTTTATGTACCAGTCCATCAGATATATTCAGGATCGCAATTACATGCCACCTTCCAAAGGCTAGAGCATTATAAGATAAGCATGAACTCTGACAAAAATGTGGTGCAGAGATTTCTAGTAGTAGTAGTGTGTAGGGAAATCAAGAAAAGATTCGAACTAAACAGTAATTTGTGGAGACTGGCGATATATTTACACCCCAAAAGAGTCAACAATTTTATAAACCTGTTATTAGCATTTTAAATGAAGAGGGAGATACAAAATATAAATTTTTGGACATTAGCAATGGAGTGCTGTCACTTCTGACGTCCACTGTTGATGTAAAGCATTCTTTTCTAAGGTGAATTTAATTAAGGAAACAGAGAAATAGTCTTCGTATACAAATTGTATATCCTCAATAACCTTTTAAGCGAATGTTGTAATTTAATATTATTGTGGATATAACGTATTGTTACCACGTGTTGGCATTGTAATCGGCTGTGGTGTTCCCATTATGTGATGGTGCTACAGTTGTTACCAGTCCCTTTCTTCTAATAAGCTTGAAGTCTTATGTTAAACGGTGATATTATGTTTCCTAAGAGTCGTTGTTCGGTAGTAGGCAGCTATAATCTGGAACGGGATGGTAATCTCGACAATATGTACCTAGATTTTGCCAAGGCTTATGACAGTGTACCCCACGAAAGGCTAAAATTCAAACTGGAAGGGTACGGAATTCGGGAAATGTCCTAGCGTGGATAGAAGACTTTCTACAAGACCGCAAGCAGTGTGTGGTGATTAATGACACAAAATCATCATCTGTACCTGTCACAAACTGAGTACCACAGGGCAGTGTATTGGGCCCGCTGTTGTTTGTTTCATAAATGACATGCCTGACGTTGTATACTCCTCCATACAAATGTTTGCCGATGACGCCAAGTTATTTTGGGAAATCAAGCGGACTGATGACTTCATGAATCAGAGCCTTTTAATTCATAAGCAACACCAAAGATGTTAGTGAACAGTAATCCTAAAAGAAGATTGCACTATGAGATTTAATACAAAGACAATTTAGTCTGAGTTCATTTGTTAGCTTGACATAACCGTGATCCAAGGTCGTAAATATAGGTGTGTACCGTATTAAAAAATATTAAGTAGATTATCTTGAACGATACCAGTTTACGTTTTCTATGTATGAAAAGGCACGAAACTGGTTCATGGAACACTTATCCAAAGGTAATAAATAAACTAATTCATCATAACAAATACAGTGACCCCTCCGTTAACGAACTCAATCCGTTCCAGAAGGTCGTTCGTTAACCGAAAAACTCGTTAACCGAAACCATTGTTTCAATGGGTTTTTGGGTAATTGGTTCCAGCTCACCGAAAATTTCCTAAATTCAACAAAAATGGTAGAAAAGTTCACTTACTTTGAGGTGTGTATGTAGAAGGCTCCTGGATGATGATGATGATGATGATGGGATTTAGAAAGGGGGTGGAGGAGAAGGAAGACGAGAAGGCATTGGGGTGGAAGAGAAGTCACCCCATGGCGCCATTTCACCCATAAAATTTTAGCTCTCTTGGTGTAATTCAAGATTATTTTCTTTAAATCAACACTGCACTGCATTATATATTGTCAATATGTAAAATATATTTCAAAATGACCATTAATTTGCTTAGAAACACAGAAAAAAAGCGTTTAGTTGAAGAGAGTCTGAAGCAAGATGTTACCTCCAGTGAAAACAGAGAGAGACTAACGCCTGTTTGCTGTGTTAAGAGGCTGGATGCCGCGCATTAAACTAGTCACTTTACCTTCAATTATGTTCAATAATTGTTAAAATGACTAAAAAATTGAATATTAAACTTTTAAAATTATTGAATAGTATAAACTCCTTGATATTTACTAAAATAGTAAGGAATTTAAGCGAAAACATGTTGAGGTCGGTTCGTAAGAACTTCGTTAACCGAATTTTTTTTCGTTAACCGAATTGAAGATCCTTATGGAAGGCAGTTCGTTAATCGAAATTACGTAAACCGAGGTGTTCGTTAAACGAGGGGTCACTGTACAATTAGACCAAATGTGAGACGATACTCGCCGATGTTATAAGGAGCCTTACATAGTGGTTGCCCGACGAAAACCTCAGAAGAACTAATCAGTGTACAATCCTTCTGCTTTCACGACACAATGGTGTCAGAATGACCATATCCGTTGACCTGTCAACCTCATCGCCTTTTCTATTGCATCAGCAACGAATTATTATGTTACTAACCTTACGTAAAATAAGGAAATCATCGAATGATATCTGAATTTCATGTCCTCCTTTCGTATTGCATACTTGTACCCATAAATTGGAAAACACACAATATACCCCTACACTCTTATTTTTATCTTTATATTACTGTACACCAGAACCTCAACATGTGCGTATTTAACTTTCGCAAATTCGACTATCCACAAAGGAACCCCGAGAGGTTTACTGTATATCTATTGAGATAACATAAAATGGTATGGTGCTTATTTTAAAAACCACAAGCATCCACCATGATGCCCTACCACTTCACGCACTGTTGTGTTCTGTTGTTGTTATAATGGTCTTACTGACCTTCAACAAAGAAGGTTTTTAAGTACCTAGCTTGGTTAGTAATGCAATAGTACAACAACGATTAAAAAGCAATAGTCCAACAACGATTAAAAATTATGACAAATAGAACTGTGTTCCAGCTTCTCCTGCAAATCTCGTCTGAGTCATCTCTGCTGTTACCAGGCCATGGGAATTTTTACTCCTCTTTCCTCCTGAGCATTTCTAACTAAACTTTGTCATGACTCCCAAAAAGCTATTAACTGGTGGAAGTGCATCTGGTGCAAAGAGAGTGAAGAAAGTGACGACTCTAACACAGAAAATTGACGTGTTGCTTAAACTCACTAAAGGCATGAGTGCATCAGCTGTTTCCTATACCTTTGGAGTGAATGGGTCAACTATTATGACTATGACCCATCAATAATCATAGTGAAACGGAATATCGCAAATGCTTTGCAACCTTACCAATAAATATATATAAAGAACTAGAAAAGAAAGCCAAACAATTGCCAATCACAATGTTTTTAATGCCGAGTTCCAGTTCAGTCCCTCCCTCCACTCCCGTCTCTCCTCACCAACCAGCCTGGTGTTGTCAGCATCACCCCTTCCATGCTCACAGCCTGCCTTTCCCCTTTATTCCATTGATACAGCTTCCTCACCTGCCAGCCCTTCATTGGACAGTGTGGATGATCCCAGTCCAAAGGTCTTAAAGGAGGGGCAGTAATATCTCCAGTAGCATTACGGAGGCTTCTCTACAACACCTCATTATAAGGTATGAAAAGTACACTTTGTATACATAAATAATACTGCTAAGTATTTTGCTCCCATAATGTTGATATTATACTTATGACTGGGAAAAATTATATATTCTTCCCAATCATAAGTTTTTTTTTACATGAAAACCTAATTTTCAGTATGTATGCATGTTTCCTTCACTGAGTTACATTTTAGACGTGCGTTGGCGTGTGTGTGTTGATGGCACAGTGATGGTGGTACGAGCCGTATGGGGCAAGCCGCAGACGATGCGTCGCTGCTACTGCGATCCAGTTGACTTCCCTAACATCACACTACATTCACTTGCTTTCTCATTTAATTTCATAACACATAATACAACTGTATAAAATAGCAGTACATACTTGTGTAGTATTTAGAGGGCTAAAATAAATTTTTTTGCTCTATTTATGATTTTTTTTTTTTTAGCCTTCGGTTCCTAATTTACCGTATGATATTAAAGGTAGGGTATTAAAGAATGTTATTTGCAAAATTTTACAATCACAAGCATCCCAGGTACCTATTGAGGCTTTGATGTACAATATACAGTGGTCCCTCGGTTAACGAGCACAATTCGTACCAGAAGGTTGCTCGTTAACCGAAAAATTCATTAACCGAAACCATTGTTTCAATGGGTATTTCGGTAATTGGTTCCAGCTCACAGAAAATTACATACAAACTAAAAATAAATGCAGTAAAGTACACTTACCTTGAGGTGTGCATGTAGAAGGCTCCTGGTTGATAATGATGATGATGGGAATTAGAATGGAGGTGGAGGAGAAGGGAGAAGAGAAGGCATTGGGGTGGAAGAGAAGTCACCCCATGCTGCCATTTCACCCATAAAATTTTAGGTGACTTGGTGTAATTCAAGATTATTTTCTTTAAATCAACACTGCACTGCGCTATATATCATCAATATGTAAAATATATTTCAAAATGACCAATAATTTGACTGGAAACACAGAAAAAAAGCGTTTATGTTGAAGAGTCTCAAACAAAATGTTCCTTCCTCTGAACTGGTAAACAAACTGACGCCAAGCTTGGTGTGTTGAGTGGCTGTTTGGCGCGCAGAAACTAGTTTCCTGTACTTCAATTATTGTATGTTCAACAATTGTTAAAATGACTAAAAAATTTAATAAAACTTTTAAAATTATTGAATAGTACAACCTTCTTGATATTTACTAAAATGGTAAGGAATTTAAGCCCTAAAACCGATTACTGTATTGGCAGACTAATACTACAGCCGGTGAGCAGCCAAATGCAGACGAAAACATGTTGGGAAAAATTCGTAAGGAATTCGTTAACCGAAATTTTTTCGTTAACCGAAGTGAAGAATCTTATGGAAGGTAATTCGTTAACCGAAATTTTGTTAACTGAGGCGCTCGTTAACCGAGGGATCACTGTATATATTTATATTGGGGGGAGGGTTATTCACTTTTTTTCAGACCCTTACATTGTCCAGACTGGGGTCTGCCCCAATTCCTCTAGTTTATTAAGGTTTTACTGTAATTTGTTGCCAAAATAACCCTGTTTCTGTACAGTGCCACTTATTTTGACAGTAATAAAGTGCATCCAGCACAATATGGAATGTCTCTCACCTATAGCTCAATTAGTGAAACAGGTGGGTACTGGAGCCAACCCTTCTTGTTTAGCTAGAAGGAAAAAAAAAGGGGGGGGGGGGATTATTGGACAATATTGGAACAGGGTATGATGGAGAGCTAGTTCAGTGCCAATTCTTTTTTTTTAAGCACTCCAGTGAGCAATTGTGTCAGAGGTGACCGACGCATTTTGGCGATCTAGAAAGTTAACGCTTGTAGAGCCCTTTTATGATTTATTAGGGCTATTTTTTTTACTATATTATGTGATTTTAACACTATTTATACATCATATTTAGGTACACCCAGACTTAGTATAAAATAGTGGATGATGTAGACAAAATACATGTGAAACAATTAACTTACATAGAAAATTTATTCTGTTAGGTGATAAAAAATTTAGATACCCTTTCTCACTTCACATTAAGTCAAAATTTGGTTTAGCAATAGCTTGACTCACTGGGAAGGGGAAAAACTGGGGATGGTGGTGGCATGTGAGTTGGCATGTTGCCATTGTTACATGTAATGAAACTATGTATAAAAGTAGTGGAAAAATTATTACAATACAGTACTCTAATGTGGCTTATAAATAAAGAAAATATAGCATAAAACTATAAAATAAGAAAAATGAAGAGTACGGGTGTGTAAGTGTGTAAAGTGAACGTCTTTGTGGAGGCAGTGGGCTGTAACTGTGTCGTGAGTCCAGCCATGTTCCCTGACTCCCTCCCCCAATGTGACATCATGGCAGGAGTCACTTGTCTCTGAGTCAGCTGGGCCTAGATGACTGCCTGGCTGAACTGTGTCACATCGCCCAGAGGAAGGCTTGAGTGTGGGAGGAACTATCTTTTGTAGTGACGATAAAATATGTGCTATTGTATTTAATGATATGCTATGTATCAATTTTATTGTTTAACATAGCAATTTTTTTTCAATTTTGATGTATGCAATTTGAAATTTGTTCGAATTGGGCTCACCTTTTGCTCACTAAATCAGTTACTGTGTTTGCCGGCATGAAAAACACGTTAAAAACAAATTATAAAAATTACCCTGCGTCTAATGCGCCCGTATTACAGATGGGAGGCCGAGCGCCGTAGGCGGAGGTGCTTAGCTTGGGAGTCCAGGACACTCGGTAGTCCACTAAACACAAAAAATGTGTTACTAATAATATTACTCATAATAAAATACTGAAAAACAAGCCAAATTATCACAATCTATTATCACAAACTAACTGCAAATTTTCCGAAGACGTACCGGGTAAATAATGGCTTACATTGGCTTAACGGCAGAGGGAAGCTCACAACATCTCACTGTACCTCCTTCCCTAGCATACGTAACCTACACCAGATACATGTCTTACAATATTTAAGGACTGTGTTACATTTAAGAAACATTTGTTTATTATCTAAATGAAATATGCACCTAGAAAGATTAAATAAATGTTAACAGAAAGTTCAGCCGCAGTCAGCCATTTGCAAAGAGTCGATGACGCCAAAACAATAGCGATGGTGCTAGACCCAGGTAGCAGATCGCTGCAACACAAGTCATCACAGCCAAAAATACGATTATACCCCCCCTGTATTTGCTTTGTCTTCATGTACCAGTATTCACTGATACCAATGAATTTCTTTTTAGCTTTGGTAAATTTAATTTATTTTCCTTTCAAGGTTACTTTAATGTTACTATATATGATTTCCTACTTGATTCCAGTATATATCTTATTTACATGCACAAAATCAAATGTTTTCCCCTACACAACCACTTTTTTTTTTTATTGGGCACCCCCCTACATCCTGTGTAAGGTGAAGCGCAGAAGCGTTTACAGTGCCCAACAGGGAAGCATGCTAAGTTCATGCTTGCCTTTATGTCTCATGAGTTAAGGGCGTAGAAGCCTGAAGAGTCAATCGTTTTTGTCATCAAGTTATTGGAAGCTCCAACAACTTTCCCTGAATACAAATTCGCAACTTTCGATTTACAACAGGTACCTACTTTACTGCTAGGTGAACAGGGACCAATTGGGGCTAGGAAGTATGTCCAAACAACTTTTCCACTGGCCCGGGAATCGAACTCGTGACATCTCGCTTGCGAGGCAAGAGCGGTACCGCTTCTACCACCGGCACCCCCAAAGCGACTTTAAAATCACTTTCAATAAATGTATGATGAAACGTACTAAAATTGTTTTTTCCACAAAATATCCTTGTAAAATAGGGGTGCGTCTTATGCAGTGGTGCGTCTTATGCGCGGCAAATACGGTAACTATGAACCACATCGTTTATATAGAAGTTTGGTGTTAATTAATCAATTGTTTAACTTCAAAACCATTTATAACAAACTCATTTACCATTAGTGCTGTACTGTACAGTACTGTACTCAGTGTTTACCACCCAGCCATTCGAACTTGTTGTTCGCCCTCTGTGATTTGCTGTTATTCCTCGTTTAGCAATAATTTCGCTTAACATTGGGGTTTTCAGGAATGCAACCCTATCGTTAAACAAGGTAGACCTATATGGGATATGCAAAATGATTTATACCAGTGCAACATATAACAAGGAACCCCTGTACACGAGAAAAAATCACCAGAACACTGTACAGTACATAAACATATTGTACTCTACAGTATATACATGCGTGATGCAAAGTATCCATGTACGTAGTTAGGCGTCTCATGAGATAAAAGGTAAGCAGCTCGGGAGATGAATACAAAATGAGAGAATACAGTACTGTTAAAGACTTAAGTGAGAGGTAGACACTATATAATTCAGGTAACTGTATAAATTAAGTGATGACAAATTTCAAAATGGCATAAAAGGAGGCAACATCAACCAGGGTGTTATTGTATATGAATGAGGAGACATACATAACACTACATGCTCACTAAAAATGAAAGGAGAAATTAAAATTTTTGTCTACGAGTCCACAAAGCAATATAATTTTGCAGTCAGTAATAAGCAGCGTTTTTTAATAATCTTACCAGTAAATTTCAATACAGCTCTTTATGAAATATCTCTCAACCAATCAAAAAATAACCATATAGATGAATGCATATTAAAAACTTACCCTAAACCAGTTCTCTTGACAACTTTTAATCTAAAATCAACGGAATTATGGCTAGCAGGTTTCCACTTCAGAACGAGGTCACATCTCCCAGGAACATATGCCTGAGTATAAATAATGGAAAATAAATTTATTTGAAAAACAATATTTCCATTTAGTGTTTTGATTATAATTATTATTATTATACAATACAGTATCTAATTTACTAAAATGCTAAGGTTGAAAACTACACGTAAAATAAATATATAGTTACCACATTTCAGAAAAATTAATGAGTGACACAAATAACAAGTACAGTATGCAGTTAACACATTTCAGAATAATTAATGACACACACACACACACACACACACAGTAAGAATAAGTACAGTGGGGTCTCATTTTGCTCAGGTACATCATACTGGTTTACGTCCACGCATCGCAAATCTGTGCAAGTGATGCCCTTTAGCATGTGTTAAAATCACTATACAGGCACTCCTCGACTTATGACCTACTCAACTTATGACCACTCGGACATACGACTGCCACAGTCGTATAAAATATTTTTCAAATTACATATTTTCGAATCCCGACATTAGTAATCGCGCTGTGTACTAACAAAATTTTTGTTTGTAATTCCCTTTAAAATGGCTGACAAGCGTAAAAGTGAGAGTTCTCGTGGTGCTGAGAAGCAAAAAAGACACCCATTTTAGATTTTTTATGTATTATTTTCGCATTTTCGACTTACGACCTGGTCATCAGTCCCCAACTCCGTCGTAAGTCGAAGACTGACTGTATTGTACTGGACTCCCCAGACCATTACAGTACTCTAAAATGTCTTTGGGTAACCAACTTAACATTCCAAAAATGACATAATGTCACATAAACTGCATCTACATTATTAAATAAATATTTTAAGAATGCCCAGGAAGTTAATTAAGTGATACTCCACCGTCTCCATTGAATAGTGGAGGTGTGGGAAGGTCTGAGAGATGATGGTCCAGTCAAGGGGTGAAGGCTAGTTGGATTCAAAGTCTTCAGAATCAACTGCAGACACCTGTAAAGCAACTTCAGCTTCATATCCAGAGCAGCAGGGTTATCATCACTGAATTCTCCTTGAATTGTTGAGCCCATAAATAGGCAGTGATGAGAGTCTGGTGGTGGCGTTTAAACTCCTGATACGTTACCTGTAGGATCCCTCGGTCTGCTCTGGTACAGCCACACCCCCAACACTGATTTAGCTTGTCAGTTTATGTTGAAGTCATATTACAAATTATATATCGTATTTTTCTATCATTTAATATACATTATTTATGAAGAAACATCCGCCATAAGAGACTGATCATACAAGAATATAATAATGAATAAATAACAAACTGGCAAATGCAGCAGGGCCAGTCCTACCCTTCACCCCCTCCTTTACGAAGGGGGGGTGGTCAGGGAAGACATTTCCTTGTGATTCAGCTTGTCTTTTATTTTGAAGTCAAATTATATACTGTATTGTATTTTGATCCATTATTTAATACCGTACGTTATTTATGATGAAACAAATACCATAATTGGCTGATCATATGAGAACATAATGATGAATAAATAGAAAACTGGTGAATGAGGCAACAGCCATACACTCAGTTACATGGGGGGAAAGGACTCTCGTCCCCACCACAAAGGAAAAGTGACTGCATTAGGGCCCATCAACCCTCCCTCCCCCCACCACACCCTGCCTTCAGGGGTGGATCCAGGGCAGAGTGAGGGGGGGGGGGTGTCCTGGGGTCCAGCCTCCTTTTCATCAGAAAAAAAAAAAAATGTCCTTAATGCAATATTGTACTCAAGCATTTTTGTTTAGTAAAAAGTAATTACTATTGACTTCAGAATATCTCCTAATATCAAGGGCACATGGCTTCAAAATGCCCATGATATTGGTCAGATTTATTTATATATTTATTTTTCTTTATTATGATTATTATTTATTTATTATTATTTTTTTTTTTTTTTTTTTTTTTTTTGGGGGGTCAAGGGGTTACAGTGTTTCAAACCCTAGCTGGGTTGGGTCTCGTGCATGTTCCCCCACCCACATAGGCGGATCCAGATGGAGGGAGGTCCTGGGGTTCTTGACCCCCCATTTTCATCAGAAAATTCCAATACTTTTTCTTTAATGCAGTATAGTCGGCCCTTGCCATTCGCTGGTTTGCGATTCGCGATTTCGACAATTCGCGGTAAGCAGATGGTGGCTATGGTGACTAGCTTGTGAGCCTCTCCCGCAGCGCAAAGAGTCACCTCCACGCACTCACAGCATCTCCTCTTCCCTGTTTGCACTCAACCATTGCCTGAGATGCAGCATCTCATGTTGCGATTCAAAACTTTAGCATTTGTGTGAAATGGCCCCTAAAAGACTAGTGATGCTAGTGGAGTGAAACATAAAAGGCAGAAGTCAGTGATGACCCTGACAAAGAAAGTTGAATTACATATTAGATAAGTTAAAAGAGGGTAGGAGTGCTGCCACAGCTGGTCGGTTGTTTGGTACAGTATAAGTATACAGTAGTGCACTAAAGTAGTAAATGTTGTTATTCGTGGTTTTGCCTATTCGTGCCATGCCTTGGAACCTAACCCTCCACAAATAACAAGGGCTTACTGTATTGTACGCAGGCATTTTTGTACTTGTATATGAAAAAGTAATTACTATTGACCTCAGAATATTTCCTAATATCAAGTACCAATGACCTCAAAATGACCATGATGTTGTTAAAAATTTTAATTTTTTACTGGGGGGCTTACAGCCTCCCCAACAGGGTAGACTTGGTATGCTCGCCATGTTCTCTCACCCACAACTTCTGGGACTCCCCCCCCCCCTGATATTCTGGATCCACCCCAGGCCTCTACCACTCTACTCCACCTTCCACCTCCTATCTATACCCTACATAATTGTTTAAGTAAATAAGAAAAAGAATAAGAGATAAGGTATGAGAAATCATGTACAAAAATAAAAAGACAGAAAGAAATAGATTAATTAACGAAAAAATAAAAATAGACAAGAAAGAAACATTATGTCTATGGGAAAAAATACATTTCTCATCATTCTCTAATGTTACTGACTTGACCTGATGCACTATCAGGTCACCCATTGTATATAAATTCTTTTCTCATATGCAGTGAAGATGGGGTGAGGGATTAGTGGTCACATATTACTGACCTGATGCATTGTCAGGTCATCCATTGTTGGGGTGGGGAATTAGTTGGTCTAATAAACTGAAGATGCCTTGAATAGACAAATTAATATACAGTACACCATACCCCCATTAATTCAAATTTTGGATTGATTTGTGGGCTTTTTTTTTTTGGCAAAATGAATGAAATCATTTGAATTCGGAATAATGCTGAAATAATCAAGCGGTTCCGAAAGGTCGATTATTATTTTTGGAATATATTATGAAATATACCAAGATGAATGAACTATAAGAATAAAATATAAATAATATTAAGATACAATACTATGTTGAGAGAGAGAGAGAGAGAGAAACAACTCACCACCTCCTGCACTCATCACCCCGTGATCCCTTTATAAAGACAGCATTCAATTTTACAATAATTAACATATCATGTAGGTTCTTTTGGTGCCGTCTTAATAAAACAAAATAAAATAAATACCCCCACAAAAATCCAACACTTAATCCCAGATGAGCTATTACTGTCTTTTGTTTACAGTACAGAGTGGTATTAACTGATCGTTCCTGCTCTCCCTAACAATGCTGCCAACACTCACCATCTTTTAAGCACCCAGAGCCCCCCTTTTGTCGACTTAACCTAAATAAACAAAAGATCACTAAATTAATGCTACCCATAGCTCTCCGCGTAAGCTACAACTATGGTCACAAACCAATTGCGTAAGCGATAACTGCGCACCCGAGTCCTGCGTAAAATGAGACCCCACTATATATATATAGTTAACATATTTCAGAAAAATGAATGACGCACGCACAGTTTAATAACAATTCTGTAGTAGTGGCAAATCTGAAAATCAAATTGGACGAAGGTTGATCATATATTTCATAATCTACAGTACAGTATGTGCAATATGCATTCAAGTACATATCATGATTCATTCGCTTAATTTGTGCAAAATGTTAAGATAACAATAATTAAAATACGTATCCACCCACATCTGATTCTGGCTGGAAGATGAGTCCATCGGGTTCATGGCTTAGTTTTGATCGAAATGCTGAGCTTAACAGTTTTTGCGTCCAGTAAATATTGGCATCCCAAAAATCCTTCCTTCGCACTCCAAAGGGTTCCTTTTGCTTGTTTAGAAGGCGCTTTTCAATAGCAGCATTTCTGGGACTAATAATGTCTGTCTGAAATATTATATTAGTTAAAATTATACACTTTGCAAAGTCTCACCTATGGCAAAAACTGGCCATAATCTAGACCAACACAGACTCCACCATTCACTGCCCTTCATTCATTCCAGTTGTGATAATACTGAATATGTGTACTTCTATAGTATTTCATTTACCATGTTTCTTCACACATTACCCATGCATTACATCAGCAGCATATCCACCTACATAGAGCACTATTACATTAATCCTTAAGGTAGATGGTAATCTTAAAAAACAATGCAGGATATCATACTACAGTAGTTTCAAATGCTCACAAAGGCTTTTAGGAGTTTTCCAAGTAAACCCTTTGGCTATGGTGAAGGATGGAAATCTGAAGACAAACATCACTCAAAATGAAAGTACTGTACTAAAGAGGTTATGGTGTGCACTTATACATCAGAATGTAACAGGTCCTGATGTTGCTCACATCAATCTTTCTGTCATGCAGATCATATACTAGTATACATATTGTACCTCATTTGACAATGTTGTAAATCAGGTTAACAGATATACTGTAATCCTCTCACTCCAGCTAACTTCTTCAGAAATCATGAAATCATAGGGAAGTGGATGGGATCCATATTGCTCCTCACTAGCCTGTCATAAAATAGATTTTTGAGGATCAAACCTTCATTTAAGATGTGATACCAGTTCAGAGTGACCAATGTATTGGAACAAAACTACAACACCAAAAATTGAGATGATGGAAAAGCTCCAAGTGTTGTGCAGCATACAGTATACCCCAATGAAAGTTTGCTCCCTGCATCAAAATGGAAACTGGCACTAACATTACAAACTCTGATGTAAACCTAACCAAGGAAGTTTCCCTTTTTAGAAACATGAAAAAATAGATTAGTTTCCATTATATGGGGGAAGACCATTATACATAATAATACAGTGGTCCCTCGGTTAACGAACACAATTCGTTCCAGAAGGTCGTTCATTAACCGAAAATTTTGTTAACCGAAACCATTGTTTCAAATAAATAAAGTAAAGTACACTTACTTTGAGGTGTGTATGTAGAAGGCTCCTGGTTGATGATGATGATGATGATGGGAATTAGAAGTGGGGGTGGAGGAAAAGGGAGAAGAGAAGGAAGTGGGGGTGGAGGAGAAGGAAGAGAAGAGAAGGAAGTGGGGGTGGAAGAGATATCACCCCATGCTTCATGCCGTCATTTCACCCATAAAATTTTTAAGTTCACTTGGTGTAATTCAAGATTATTTTCTCTAAATCAACACTGCACTGCACTATATATTGTCAATATATAAAATAAATTTCAGAATGACCAATAATTGTACTGTAAAAACGTAAAAATAGTTTATGTTCAAGAGCCACAAGTAAGATGTTACCTCCACTGACCAGAGATACAAACTGACGCCTTTGTCGGTGAGTCAAGTGGCTGATTGGCGCACCAAAAACTAGTTTCCTGTACTGCAATTATGTTAAGTAAGTGTTAAAATGACTAAAAATTTTAATATAAAACTTGGAAAATTATTGAATAGTACAACCATCTTGATACTTACTCAAATGGGAACAAATTTAAGCCCTAGAACCGATTACTGAATTGTGGACTAAAATTCCAGCTGGTGAACAAGCGAAAACATGTTGACATGATTTCGTAAGAATTTCGTTAACTGAATTTTTGTTCTTTAACCGAATTGAAGATTCTTATGGAAGGTAATTCGTTAACCGAGGCGCGTTCGTTAACCGAGGGATCACTGTAGTAATAATAATAAAAAAATTAATAAAAATTAATAAAAATAAATAACAATTATAATAAAAGAAAATACTAATACAGTCAACCCTCGCTTTACGCGGTCCCACATTCCGCGTTTCCACGTTTACGCGGTACCCCGCCGAAACCGGAATGCTCACATTCCGCGGTGCGTGTACCCCTTTGTGTGTGTATATATATATATATATATATATATATATATATATATATATATATATATATATATATATATATATATATATATATATATATATATATATATATATATATATATATATATATATATGTGGTTATCAGCATATATATATACAGTGGGGTATGCTATAACGAACGGATCCTACTACGAATATTCCTATAACGAACAGTTTTACCTATAAAATTGAGAATGCTATAACGAACGCAACTCTTACAACGAACGCGGATGAATACGGGACTATTTCGCCTGGCGCATGAATATTGTTGTACCGCGACCCACAACAAGAGCGTCAGGCGCCATCTTTGTCTCATTGTGTAGCCAGTGCACCACTGTTATTCTTGAAATTTCGTCTTTTGATGTGGAAATTCGCGTTATTTGTATACTGTAACTATTTTGTTTTACAAGTATACAATTGTAACAATGAATCGTCCAAAGCGAGTGAGAAAGCTAATAACCCTTGAAACTAAGAAAGAAATTATAAAGAAACGTGAGAATGGAAGAAGCATTGCGAAACTTAGTGATGAATATGGGATGGCTAAATCGACTATATGTACGATTTTGAAGAACTCTGTGCAAGTGGCTAAGGGAATCTTTAGACTTAGCAAAGCAAGGTGTAATGTGATTGAAGAGATGGAAAATTTACTCTTAGTGTGGATAAAGGAGAAAGAAATGGCAGGTGGTAACATTAGTGAAGCTATAATTTGTGAGAAGGCCAGACAATTGTTTGAGGACCTTAAAGCCAAGACTCCCAGTGGAAGTGATGTGCCAGTGTTTAGGGGTACCTGCATGCTGAATAACACTAAGGTAAGATAAAGTACCGTATTTTTTACATTTTCCACAGAATTTTTTCAGTGTTAAGTGGTTGTATTTGGGGGCCTGGAATGGATTAATCCTATAACAAACGAGGTTCTGGAACCAATTACGTTCGTTATAGCATACCCCACTGTATATATATATATATATATATATATATATATATATATATATATATATATATATATATATATATATATATATACACAGTCATGCGCCGGTTAACGTCCTAGATACGTTCTTGGAAACGTGACGTTAACCAAAATGGACGTTGTCCGATCATCACATAAACTTTTTATTTATACTTATGTGTATGTGGAATACTATATACGAACATATACACTTTTACTCTTAAATCACTACTTAAATATGATACAGGTGATTAATTTTTATCTTTTGTGCAAAATACATGAAGTTTATATTAAAATTATTCACTGTTTTACAAGGATTCCAACAGCAGCTAGACAGGTTGGGGAGAAAGGAGGAGGAGGAGGAGGAGGGAGGGAGGGAGGAGGAGGAGGAGGAGGAGGAGGAGGAGGAGGAGGGAGGAGGAGGCCGAGGGCGTGGGGGGAGGAGGAGGCCAGTGTGATTGGCACCGGCCCAGGTCTAGCTGCGTGCCTGATGGTCCCTCGGTTGCTGCAACGCCTCCGGTTACTTGAGAATTTCGGTTAACGAACTGCCTCCCATAAGATTCTTAAATTCGGTTAACGAATGTCTTACGAACCGACCTCAACATGTTTTCGCTTGCACTGGCCGGTCAACCAGCTTTAGTATTAGTCCGCCAATACATTAATCGGTTCTAGGGCTTAGATTCCTTACTATTTTAGTAAATATCAAGAAGTTTATACTATTCAATAATTTTAAAAGTTTAATATTCAATTTTTTAGTCATTTTAACAATTAATGAACATAATTGAAGGTAAAGTGACTAGTTTAATGCGCGGCATCCAGCCTCTTAACACAGCAAACAGGCGTTAGTCTCTCTCTGTTTTCACTGGAGGTAACATCTTGCTTGAGACTCTCTTCAACTAAATGCTTTTTTTCTGTGTTTCCAAGCAAATTATTGGTCATTTTGAAATATATTTTACATATTGACAATATATAATGCAGTTCAGTGTTGATTTAAAGAAAATAATCTTGAAATACACCAAGAGAACTAAAATTTTATGGGTGAAATGGTGCCATGGGGTGACTTCTCTTCTTCCTTCTCCTCCACCCTCATTCTAATCCCCATCATCATCATCATCATCCAGGAGCCTTCTACATACACACCTCAAAGTAAGTAAACTTTTCTACCATTTTTGTTGAATTTAGGCAATTTTCGGTGAGCTGGAACCAATTACTCAAAAACCCATTGAAACAATGGTTTCGGTTAACAAACTTTTCGGTTAACGAACAACCTGCTGGAATGGATTGAGTTCGTTAACCGAGGGACCACTGTAATGAGAAAAAGAAAGCAGCTGTGCAAGGTTCTTTAGACAGTTTTATTATTCAAAGGCCTAAACCATCAACTTCAGCTACAGCTACACCATCAACTTCAGGTGCAGCTACACCATAACTTCAGGTTCAGCTACACCAACAAATTCAGCATCAGCAACAACTGCAGGTTCAGTAACAGCTTCAGCAACACCTTCAGGTTCAACAACAGCTATGGCATCTTTATGGAAAGCTACAGCTTTAGCCAGAGTTAAACCTACAGCTTCAGATGGAGAACCTGATGACTTAGGAGCTTCGTCATCTGAGTAAAAACTCACACAACAACATTGGCTGTCCTTATGTTTTAGATTTTACCACCATTGGTGAGTAGAATTTTTGTTTTACATTCATAAATATGATTTAAAACATATATGAACAGTAATAAGTGTTGGTTTCATATTCTTATGTAGGGAAATGACGATATGCTTTCACGTGTACGCAATTACATACATTGGCGCTGCACAATCCGTCTCGCTTTTTTCTTTACTATTAGTGGTTAGCTACTTCTATTGTTTCATTTATTTACATTAGGTAACATTAATTAAAACATGCATATTTTCTTTTTACATTAAATTTACTACAGCTACAACCAGGGTCTTATTTTCTTCAGTTTCATATGGAGAACCATCGTCATGGTTTAAACACTAACGAAAACAATGCCATCTCGTCTCCTCTTGTGTGTTTTAATATTCTACGTATTATTTTGCATACATAAACATTAATTCAATCAAATAGATATTCAGTAATAAATCTTTTGTACATATCCTTAATAAGATAAATGACTCTATGTTTCCACAAATGTGCACAACGCCGGACATACATGCGTTGTTGTTTCGCTATCAGTCCCCCCCCTTTTTTTCTTTACCATCAGTGGTTATTTCTACTGCACATCAAATAACATTAATTCAAACATACATATATTTTTTTACATTAATTTTACTACAGCAACAACCAGGGTCATATTTTCTTCAGTTTCAGATAGATAACTGACATCACGGGTGTAAACACTGACAAAGACAATGGAGTCCCATCTCCTCTTGTGTGACCATATTATTATTGATATACATTGCATAAGGTGCATTCATAAACATTATTTAAAGAATATACCTGTTGTTTGCATTTTTCATTAAATGTATTGTTTTGGGTGAAAAGAGGGTAAAACGCCACACAAAAGGTAAGAAAAGGTCAGACTAGAGAACGTATCTCATTATTATTGCTTTATTTTAATGGTAATTAATGATTTACGATACGAAGATTCACCTTGCACTGCAATATTGGAGGACACATGACCGTCGTTATTCAAGGCTTTACTGTAATAGTCTTTTAATAACCTTGTTAACACTTAAAGACCTTAGTTGTTGAAGTGCAGTAATAACATAACAACATCTGATTTTCTTTAAACAGTTCAGATAAGCAGTGTTATCTCCCCCCATATATTCGCTTTTTTCCGACTTTCACATTTTTCAGACTGGGGTCTGTCCCAATTAGTCCGATTTATCGAGGTTCTACTACTTTCATTTTTTTTTTAAGAGTGGCCCAGAGCATTTCAGAGAGTCCCCATAAAGTGAATTCCGATATATTGAAATCCGATTTATCGCAGTTTTCTGAATACAATATAGGAAAAATTGCTTCGCATTATGGAATTTTGCGTTACGGAAAGATTTTCAGGAACAGAACCCTTCCGTAACCCAGAGAGTGCATGTACATGGCCAATTCTAACTTCAGTACCAATGAGGCATAAACTCATCAATCCTAAATAAATAAGAACTTGGAGAGACGAGTTTTTCCTCAGAAAGGTTGGCAGCCAGAGTGAGGGGCTATTTCTATGAACACTACTAGGGTACTGTCAAATGAATTGTGATCTGTGAAGTATAAAGAATGAGCTGCATGGTGTTATAACTCATTATTCTCCCTGTTTTAGGACAAACCATGACCCCAAATCTATCATCTTGAGCAATTTTTGTCATTGGGGAGAAATTACTCTTCAGATTACCAACAGATGCCATGGTCTAGACTCATCTTGGAAAACTCTGAAAAGTCTATGTGTGCACAGTCATAGGTCACTCCAACATAATAAAGCTAAATACTGAGAAAACATAAAAGCACAATGAGAACAGTCTAATTCTGCATTTAGGAAAACCATGAAGACAAAACATCATCAACTCAGCCTATTATTAAAACAACATGAATTTATAATATAGAAACAAGGCTTTCACAGAATCGTAAGCAACTAGAGAGAGCTATGATCATGTTTAACAGTGACACAATAACAAAACTTATGTAGGGCAAACCACTGCGCACCAACACTGTTAATAATAACAAATATAACTTACCATTATACGTTCGTATCTCATATGAAATGAGTCGTTCATTATGTCTCTACCCTGAATTCTAACAGCATCATAAATTAGATACCTCGGGTACTTTGTGCCAGAGTTTGGGTCAGTGTCAATTACCATTTCCTGAAAAGAGACCAAAGAACTTAATTAAAAAATAATATATTGATCTTTGTTCTAATAAGGTAATTTTCCCACTTGGATCAGGATGGTAACTACAAACATCTCACAAATTACTTCAGTAGTTGTACTTAACACAAACATTACTGATGCTCAATACAATATTCCTTTAAAATATTTCTTGTACATCACAAACGGTTCCTTTATAACAAAAATATTTACAGTCAACCCTCGCTTTACGCGGTCCCACATTCCGCGTTTCCACGTTTACGCGGTACCCTACCAAAACCAGAATGCTCACATTCCGCGGTGCGTGTACCCCTTTACGCGGAGAGCGGCTGGTGAGCCGCGCCATTTTTGGATCCAAACCTCCCGCCATCTCTCCCGCCATCCGCCATGTTGTGTAAGCGGCGCGAGCAGGGTGCGCACAAGGTCGCCCAGTCATCAAAACATTACCGAGTTCTTCACCGCCACCCACCACAGCCGGCCCAAGTCAGTGATAGTGATAATTATAGTGAGGATATGGACTTATATGGACTTTGAGGGGTTTGACAAAGAGGCCCTGCAAGCCTCTGTGGTGGATAGTGATACAATTGATACAAGTGATACAGGTGAGGGCCAATAATCTGCCCTCTGCCTCGGAACCAACCCCCATCCCCGTGTGCCCAGCCATCTTTTCTACTAATGTAAGTGTTAAAAAACCTAATATTATTGATATTTCTCTTAATTATTAATTGTGTGTGCATACCATCATAAAATTAAGAAGTTATTTTTACTACAACATAGGTATTGTGTCTGAAAAAGTGGAGTTTGGGGGTCGGCCCGGTCTCTATTTCAATTAATCCCATATGTTATGTTGTTCACTTTACGCGTTTCTCACTTTCCGTGGTACCCTGTGGGTTGAATTAACCGCGTAAAGTGAGGGTTCACTGTATTCTCCTTGCAACCCATCTTCTTCCCTTCATTAATTCCCATTTCTATTCTCAGAATAAAGCTTGCTGTTATTCTTCCCATCCTCAATCAGTCAAATGCCTACACTGTTTCAGTACTATACCAAAAAACAGCCTTTTCCCTTCATTCCTCCATCCATGTACTGTATATAAATATTATTATTATTGTAGTGGGGTCACAATAATTTGTGGGTAAGGTACCAAAAATCATCGTGAATTATTAAATCACATATTATAGTTTAACTGATTTAAATGAAATAATTAAATTCTGGGAGCCAAAAAATACTCAAACTGTTCCAAAAGTGCTTTAACAAGTGTCACAAATCATACATAATACAGTAATATCTCCGTTAGCCGGAATCCCTCAAACCTGGAAATCTCCGATAGCCAGAATTGAAATTTGCTTGGAAAATCATTCCTAAAGTCGGAATTTCCAAAAATTTCCGGCTTTAAGAACAAATTTTCCGAGGTTGAAAATCAAGAGAATTTTCTGAAAATAATTTGAATAAAGATGAAAGGTTTTTTTTTTTTGGGGGGGCTGACCTGACTCAATGTCAGGTGGAGGTAGGATGGGGGATTAGTGGTGTCATATCACTGACCTTCTGATGAAATGTCAGGTTACCCTTTCTTGGGTAGGGGATTAGTGGGTCTCATGACCTGAAGATGTCTTGAATAAACACAAAACCTAAGTATTTTTAGGGAGATTGTGATAAGTATACATGAGCAAAGTTGTATCCCTTCAACATTACATTACATAAAATTTTAAAATTTGGAGTGAGAAAGCAGAAAGGTGTGGGAGATTAGAGAGATGAAGTGGAAAGGACATTACAATAATAATCTGTGTTTATTAATACTGTACCTGTACCCTTCATATACAATACAGTATACAGCTGCTCCTCGACTTACGGCGGGGTTAGGGACTCAAATCCAGGTCGTAAGTCGAAAATGCTTAAATAATACATAGAAAATCTAAAATGGGTGTCTCTTTTTCTTCTCAGCACCACAAAACTCTCACTTTTAAGCTTGCCAGCCAATTTAAAGTGAATTACAAACGAAAATTTTGTCAGTACACAGCACAATCACTAACGTCGGGACTCGAAAATACAGTGACCCCTCCGTTAACGAACTCAATCCGTTCCAGAAGGTCGTTCATTAACCGAAAAGTTCGTTAACCGAAACCATTGTTTCAATGGGTTTTTGGGTAATTGGTTCCAGCTCACCGAAAATTCCCTAAATTCAACAAAAATGGTAGAAAAGTTCACTTACTTTGAGGTGTGTATGTAGAAGGCTCCTGGATGATGATGATGATGATGGGATTTAGAATGGGGGTGGAGGAGAAGGAAAAAGAGAAGGCATTGGGGTGGAAGAGAAGTCATCCCATGGCGCCAATTCTCCCATAAAATTTTAGCTCTCTTGGTGTAATTCAAGATTATTTTCTTTAAATCAAAACTGCACTGCATTATATATTGTCAATATGTAAAATATATTTCAAAATGACCAATAATTTGCTTGGAAACACAGAAAAAAAGTGTTTAGTTGAAGAGAGTCTCAAGCAAGATGTTACCTCCAGTGAAAACAGAGAGAGACTAACTCCTGTTTGCTGTGTTAAGAGGCTGGATGCCGCACATTAAACTAGTCACTTTACCTTCAGTTATGTTCAATAATTGTTAAAATGACTAAAAAATTCAATATTAAACTTTTAAAATTATTGAATAGTATAAACTTCTTGATATTTACTAATAGAGTAAGGAATTTAAGCCCTAGAACTGATTAATGTATTGGCGGACCGATACTAAAGCTGGTTGCCCGGTCAGTGCAAGCGAAAACATGTTGAGGTCGGTTCGTAAGAACTTCGTTAACCGAATTTTTTTTCGTTAACCGAATTGAAGATCCTTATGGAAGGCAGTTCGTTAATCGAAATTACGTTAACCGAGGTGTTCGTTAAACGAGGGGTCACTGTACGTAATTTGACAAAATTTTTGTACGACTGAGGCAGTCGCAAGTCGAGTAGGTCATAAGTCGAGGAGTAGCTGTAGTACTATGTATATACCTCATTGGTAAAAAAATTTCATTCAAGACATCTACAGGTCAGAAGACCCACTAATCCCCCACCCAAAAATGGGTGTCCTGACATTGCATAAGGTCAGGTTAGTAAGGTGACCCAGCAATCTCCCATCCAACCTTCATCACAAGTGTTAAGACATGATTAGTTATGTATTACAGTCAATTGCGTGAAGTGTCTGCTTATTCTAGGCTTAAAATGACAGGATCTGCTGGGGTACAATATATACAGCACACAAGGACACTTGCCAACTGTGCGTAACAGATACTTGACCGATCGCTCAAGCGGCTAACGAGCCAATCAGTGGCAAAGAGGATAAAAGTAACACAGCTCTATTCACGCCCGTATCAGAAAGCTTATTTTTTTTTTATTTAACCAAACTTTTAGATTAAGTATTCAGGATTATTTTAACAAAATTTCTAACCTTTTTTTTTATAAACGAATGGAATTCCCAGCACTATATCATATAGAAATATTTCGTTTAAGGATATCTTATTGAAAGTTTCATAGAGAATGTATTAAGGCTCATTATGATATCAAATTCATCTCCCTTTCACAATTAGCCACACTTGAGTGAGGAAGGGGACTGACCATGCCACCCTACCTCCCAAAAAGATTTGCTTCCGTCAACACACACACACTAACACATCACACTAACACATCACACATACACTCCTACATCACACACACAAACACACCCTCCAACCCCCACACACCCTCCAACCCACACACACACCCTCCAACAACCACCCACACACACCCTCCAACAACTGCCAACAAACGCCCACACACACCCTCCAACAGCCGCCCACACACACACACCCTCCAACAACCGCCCACACACACCCTCCAACAACCACCCACACATACCCCAACATCACCCCTCCCACACACACACATTCCAACACCGCTCACACACCCCCAACAAGGGAATTAAGACAGCAAGCATAAGGAGTGAAGGTCTTACTGTATGACACAACTGCGTGTGTGTGTGTGTGACTACATGGTAGCGAGTTAAATATCAGCTGTTGAGGAGCGCTTGGCAACACTCATTTCCACTCCATCTCTAATTACTCACACCTTTCTGCTTTCTCATTCCATATTTTAATATGTTATGTAACGTAATGTTGAAGGGATACAACTTTGCTCATTTATACTTATACAGTGGGGTATGCTATAACGAACGGATCCTACTACGAATATTCCTATAACGAACGGTTTTACCTATAAAATTGAGAATGCTATAACGAACGAAACTCCTACAACGAACATTATTTTTTTTTTTTTTTACTAATTTATTGTTTTTTTATTACAAGTATTAATGATATTCTTTATTTCAGGGGTTTAGATGCATATTTATGCACTTTTTTACAATTTTTACAATTTTATAATATATTTTTCAGTGTTAAGTGGTTGTATTTGGGGGCCTGGAACGGATTAATCCTATAACGAACGAATGCTATAACGAACAAGGTTCTAGAACCAATTAGATTCGTTATAGCATACCCCACTGTACCTGTACTTACCACAATCTCTCTAAAAATACTTTAGGTTTTGTGTTTATTCAAGACATCTTCAGGTCATGAGACCCACTAATCCTCCACCCAAGAAAGGGTAACCTGACATTCCATCTGTCAGTAATATGAGACCACTAATCCTCCATCCTACCTCCACCTGACATTGCATCAGGTTAGGTTAGTTACACGAGACCCACTAATCCACCCACAGCTCCATGGGAGTGGAAAATAACAGTCTTTGATGTAACAGCTTCATTCATGCCCATATCCTATAGATTTTTTAATTTTAAATATATTTATTTAACCAAACCTTTAGAATCTAATCCAGAATAGTTTATCTAAAGTTTAGATAAACTACTCTGGATTATTATAGTAAAGAAATTAATTTTCTAACTTAATTAGAACAGTATTTACGGATTCCAGTAGTTTAGACTCAAGGAAAACATCTCCAGCACCCAGAAACGTTCTGGGGAAGTGGGTTAGTGTGCGTTTGTGCAAGAAGTCTAGTTTAGACACTCGGAAACTTTTCCCAGTAACCAGAAAAGGTTCCGGGGATAAGGAATTTTTCCGGGTTTGAGAAAGTCATCTCGTTACCCGGATATCTCTCATCCCCGAAAGTGCTCTGCACTAATTGTTTCGGCTAACGGGGATATATCACTGTACATAAAAAATACTGTAACACATAGATATTGAACAAAAAGTAGTTCTATATTAAATAAACAGCTGCTTCCCTGGCTGGCTGGACAGCAGTTCTCACTATGTAAACAAAGCACCGGTAATTTAACACGACACAATAACTTACCCTGGGTTGAGTGTGGGATTTTTCCCAAGGAAAATTTATTATTTAATGGTAATGTTTTATTAACCGGGTACCAAATGTACCTAATTAATATGGGAATAGTGGTGACATTGAATAACATCACTTAAAGATGTCGCAGAGTGCCAGAGCCTCCTGGAGTGGAGAGGGAAATTTTCTAAGTCATACCACCCAATAGCCACACCTCTCATCTTATTTTGTAGTTTTATATTATTTTTTCTTTATTTATAGGCACATTAGAGCATTGAAATTACATTTCCAAATTTTTTATGGTTTCTTATGTAAATAAACACTGTGGCTGCTGCAAATTATGAATATTTGACCACAAAATTTAAAAAATAGGTACAGTTCAGTAATATAGAGGTACAATACCTGCAAATTTGAGAACTTGAATTTGTATTTCACAAATTATCACAACTCTACTGTATTATTGTTATTACAATATCATCATCATCATCATCATATACAGATACTCCTCGACTTACAACCACCCGGACATACGACCGCCTCAGTCGTACCCAAAATTTTTTAAATTAAGTATTTTTGAGTCCCGACGTTAATGATTGCGCTGTGTACAGTACTGACAACATTTTCGTTTGTAATTCTCTTTAAAATGGCTGGAAAGCTTAAAAGTGAGAGTTTTGTGGTGCTGAGAAGAAAAAGAGACACCTATTTTAGATTTTCTATGTATTATTTTCGCATTTTCGACTTACGACCAATTCAACTTACGACAGGGTCTCCAACCCTTTCGTAAGTCAGGGACTGCCTGTATACAGGTATACCCCAAAAACTATTGTCCCAATACCAGCCAATTTGCATTCCAGTCAGTTAAAGCAGCATGTTAACATCAACAAGTATGTTGATTTCCAGATCAATTTTATGAAACCAGTCCTGGTGTATTTTTTTGATCTGGCCAAGGGTCTCTGCAGGTTTTTGCCATGACAGTGTTGAGGAAACCCCATTCAGCACTCGGATTTGGGTTGTTTGTTGTCGGGTTGTTTATCATCCCATCCTTGAGATGCTCTCTAAAAGCATGTGCTACTGCTGGATCCTCCATACGCTTGGTGTTAAAGCCTCTTGTGGAGGCTTGTTGCCTTCTACGTTTAAGGGCGACGTGAAGGGAGAGTTTGGATCTAATGAGCCGATGATCTGTGTCACAGTGGTCTGAGCCACACATGGTTCGGGTGATGAGGACATCTCAGCGATCACTTTCTCTGACAATGATGTAGTAAATGAGATACCAATGTTTGGATCATGGGTGTTACCACGAACCCTTGAATTTGTTGTCCTGTCTAAACAAGGTATTGATGATAGTGAGGTTGTGTGCAGCACACTTGCTGAGGAAAAGTAGGCAGTTGGGATTACACTTACCTAGTTCATTTCTCTCTATGGTTCCCTGCCAAATGTCAGCTTCTCTGCCAACTCTGACATTACCTAAAAGCACAACCTAATTTCTCTGGGGATAGAGGCTAGCACTCTGTCAAGGTCGGCACAAAAGACCTCCTTGATGTCATCCTCTGCATCCAGTGTTGAAGCGTATGTACTGATGAAGAAAGCATGACGTGAGTGATTCAGTGGGACTCAGAGCATCATGAGGCGCTTGTTGATCCCAACAGGCATTTCAGTTAGCCTATGTAGGATGCATTGGCAGATGGCAAAGCCAACTCCATAAATGCGGTTTCTCTCCACAGTAGGCTTACCCTTCCAGAAGAAGGCAGAGCCAGAAACCTGTTCTGATAGTCAACCCTCGTCTGGGAGTCAGGACTCACTAATGGCTGCTATATCGACGTTATACCTAGCCTGCTCTTTTGCCACAAGGGCAGATCTTCTTTCAGGACGCTCATTTGTGCCAGTATTCAGGAGGGTCCTGACATTTCATGCAGCGACCACAAGAGGTTCTACAGTTTGTTTTTTATTTGATCTGTGATTATGATTGTGTTTTTGACCGCATAAGGATGACCTTACTGAGTGCGGTTGCCCAGTCAGGTTGGTTCTTTAGGCAGGCTATGTTTAAGGCACCTTCCCCCCACCCCCATTTCCCCAATTATGCAACAGTATATTTTCAGCCTTCTGGGTGCCATGCTCTTTCAATAAACCGTTAAATATTATTATTATTATTATTTATACACACAAACATATGACAAAACAATTTAAAAGAGTAAGGTTTCCTTTAACTATGATAATGAAGAGTTTGTTCAATAGAAAAGGAAATTATTAATAAAAATATAATTAGCCTAAGTTACAAGCAGACACCAAGGTTATAAAATTTTATATCTTACCCCATCAACTAAAGTATCTGAAAGGTGAACCTGTAGGTCATGTTTCTGTCGAAACTCTACCTCCGGTGCCTGAAATATACTGTGGTCACGGTCAGCGAAGTACACTTCTCGACGTCCAGCTGTAATACACAACAGCAGATGATACAAATATGAGTCTCTCTTCATGTCATTCTCTTTCATCTGCTTCTGATCCTCTTTCACTATCCCCATCTACATGGAGGACAACTACTACATTGAATCTTATGAGGAAATAATAACAGTATGACATTTCATATTCCTCATTGCTAAAGTAACCCTTATGTTCATTGACTTTAAAATACAATAGTCCTTAGCTTTAGTGTACACACTTGCCTTACATGTTTCTGCTTATACAGTTACCATACGAGGTCTGTCCAAAAAGAAACAGAACTTTTTAAATAGCGCGCCAATGAGCCGGCGCAGCGTGCTCGCGACGGGAGCACTGTGTAGCGGTGACCTTGACCTTTAGTCTAACACTAGCCGCATCACACCACGTCAATTAGTCATCGAGCTACACGTGCTAAAGTGAACGTGTGTTTAGTGCACTTGGCGATTTGTTGCAAGTTGAACAATGAAGGATCTTGAAGAGCAATGTGTTTGTGTGAAATTGTTTCAAATTGGGAAAACTTTTAAGGAGACTTTTCAAATGTTGCAACAGGCTTATGGGGAGGATTGTTTGAGCCGTACGCAATGTCACATGTGATACCAGCATTTCAAAAGGGGAAGAACATCCACCGAAGATGATCCCAAATCTGAACGTCAGAGTCGTTCAAATGTGGAGGTGATGTTTATCGTCCTTTTTGATTGGAAGAGCGTCATTCATCGTGAGTTTGTTCCACGTGGTCAGACAGTCAATAAAGAGTTTTACTTGGTGGTCCTGAAGCGTTTGAGGGAGGCAGTGCGAAGGAAGAGGCCTGAGGCGTGGACAAACAAGACCTGGATGCTGCACCATGACAATGCACCTGCTCACACGTCGCTCCTTATCCGTGACTTTTTGGCGAAGCACGAGACGAATTTCGTCCCCCAGCCGCCCTACTCTCCGGATTTGTCCCGTCGACTTTTTTTTTGTTCCCAAAGTTGAAATCCACCCTGAAAGGTCGCCGATTACAAACAATAGAAGGGATAGAAGAAAATTCGGTACGAAACCTGCACACCATCCCTCAAAACGCGTTCCAGGACGCGTTCCAGAACTGAAAAAAAACGTTGGGAGCGGTGTATCAACAGTGGAGGGGAGTACTTTGAAGGAAACAAGTCTGCTTAAGTTGTAAGTAAAGCAATGAATTTTGTTTTTAAAAAGTTCGGTTTCTTTTTGGACAGACCTCGTATTACAGTATTAACTATCTTCCCCATAAACAGGTGCATTTTTTTCATCCCATCGTTGACTCGCCAATAACCCTATCATGTAGTACAGTACTGTAATACAATGGATAATGAGGCTGACTCATAACACTCATGCATTATTATGACGTATGATCCTAATATCAGGGTTGTTATGATTTAAATCAAATGATTTAAATCACACGATTTAAATCGATTTAAATCAGAGTAAAAAAATCATGATTTAAATCAAAATGATTTTTTACTAATAACTGTTTTCTCTTTTTATATGCAATGCAGCAGGCTAATAACATCAAGATGATTAAAATGCTAAGACCAGGATATGTTCCACCTAATAGACATCAAATTGGAGGGTCTCTTTTTGATCAAGCCTACGATTCAGTGATTAAGAATTATTCAGAACTTAGTGGGAAAACAGTTTGCATGGCTATGGATGGATGGAGTAATGTCCATAATGAGCCTATATTATGTATAACTTTAACAGCGGACAACCGTATTTATCTTGTTGACTCTATAGACACAGAATCAAGACACACAGCTGAATATCTGTTGAAATAGCTGAAAGTGCTACAAAAAAGTGTGAAGACAAATTTGGACGCACAGTAAGAAGCTGTGTAACAGATAATGCTGCTAATATGGCAAAAATGAGAAGTGAATTCGGACAAGATAAATCCATTATAACATATGGTTGCTCTGCACACCTGTTAAATTTGCTTTCACAAGACCTGCAAATCAAGAACATTAAGGAGCACATTACTGAAATCATTAAGTACTTCAGAAATCATCACATCCCAGGATCTTTGTATAGAAGAGCAGGAGGAACAATGCTAGTAATGCCATCAGACACACGATGGAACACAGTGACAGATTCTATTGAATCTTATTTAAAGAACTGGGAGACCCTTGTCAAAGTGTGCAAAGAAAATAGTGAAGACATTGATAAGAAAATTGAAAGGAAAGTTAATGATAAGGCATTAAAAAGAACTGCAGAAGACTATTTAGAGAGACTTAAGCCTATTGCTGTGGCATTGGACTGTGTCCAGAGAGAACATACCCTATTAAGTGATGCTGTAGAAATCTGGGTAAAACTGAAAACTGATATTAAGGAGTATTTAACAGATAAGAAGGATATGGGTAATTTTGAAAAAAAGAATCAAAGTAGCATTGACACCTGCCCATTTTCTAGCTAATGTGATAGATCCAAGGTATCAGGGCAGACATCTGACTCCTGAGCAACGAGACATTGCAGAACAGTATGTGTGCGAGTCTCTTTCAACATTAATGTCCTTCCATGGAAGAAGTGCACCATTTAAAGAGGTCTATTTTGGTAAAGATGTTGTGAAACCTCTCTCACCCCTTGCTTGGTGGCAGTATTTTGCCAATGCTATGACAGAAAATGTAATGGATGTTCCTAGGCAATTATTTACAGCTGTTGCATCATCAGCAGGGGTTGAGAGAATTTTTTCCACATATGGATTTGTACACTCAAAGGTAAGAAATCGCCTAGGACAGGAAAAGGCATCTAAGCTTGTCACAGTATACGTATAAGCATTTCAATGTTCAACTAAGCTAATTTAAATGTTTGAACTATTTTTGTTGTTTACAGAATGAGATTATTGTGTTGACTTGAAGTTATTACCGGTAATTCTTAATTTTGTTACCAGTATTATTTTTTTTACAAAATGAGAATATTATTCTGTTGACTTGAAGAAGTTAAGTTATTAATTTTTGAAACACTGTAATCCTATTAGAGCATTTATGTTAGATTTCATTATTACGTTTGGATTTGTGCACTCAAATGTAAGATATGTTACCAGTTTTCTTTTATTTTACAAAAAGAATATTATTGTGTTAAAATCCATTGGTACATCTACTGCATAAATATCTTAATGCCAATTTTCTGTTTATTATCCTGAATAAACTTTGGTTGAAAAATACTGTTTTTATGGTTTAAAAATACTATTTTAATGCAATTAGTAAAAAAATAAAAAAAATCTATTTAAATAAAAAAAATACGATTTAAATCAAATAAATCGATTTTTTTTTTAAATCATGATTTTTTCCAACCCTGGATCCTATGCACTTCATTAGCTAATAGCATAAGAATAAATAAGAGGGGGAAGGCAATGCTAATTAGTGCTTTCTTTATACATGCCCATTTTGGATAATCTCATGACTAAGCGTAAGTGTCCCTTGCAAATTTGACTGCTGTGCTGGGCTTTTTTCTGTGTCTCAGAAGTGAAGTGCTAGTATTAATCATACAACAAATACAAAATAAAATAAAAAGTTCTGATTCTGGGTGATAAATTCGACATGTTTGATGAGCTTCAAGGTGGTGAATGACTAGACAGTTACAAAATCAGAACTATTAAAGAGGTCTGATGAAAAACTGAAAGTTACTGCTGAACAGAGTATTGTTACAATATACAGCTACTTTGTACAAGTTATATAACTTACAAGTATGTTGCTTGTAGTTATTTGAGTTGTGGAAGCAAGTTAGTGAGGGGGCGGCCAGCTGATAAATTTGTGACCAACTCTTGGTGTTGCCAGGATCATTAGTTTTTAATCATTAAAATAATCTTTAATATTATCTAGTCACAGGGTGAAGGCTGCTGTGTCCAGGCCCAGGCCCAGTCTTGTTGTTAATGATCAGTTTATGTAGTTAAGGGAGTAGCAACTGAGGGGACACAGTACTTGCCTCCTGTCCTAAGGGTTGCTGGTTTGTGCTCATGGCACTTGCATTTAACATAAAGAATGGATACTTTACAGATGGAGAAGTGAAGACAGTCAAATACAGTGCCAGTTACTCTGCCTCCTTGAGCACCAATGAATTAGTACAGTATAATGGAAACACACTGCCATTAAAGGGCTTTCAGACCTATGAGACTCTCTTTTACTCTTCACTCATGTACTATACTTCAAATAATCATGAAATCACACAATAATCAAGTGAAAACATTTTACTGAGAAGATCTTATCTAAACCACTAATATCCAAATACCATGTTTAGATTTATTATGAAGGTGATCAACAAAGTTCTTAATAAAGAGAGAAAGAGATAAATACAATCAAGATAAAATACATTCAAATGAACTGGTACAAAAAAGTCAATACAAATGATTCAAACACAAAACCACTGAAGTCAATCATACATGGGTAGTAACATCCTTGCTCACAGTAAAGTGCTAGTGTACATTCCTGATCCATAAAGTTTAGAGTGTACCTTATGTGTTAATGTAAAAATACATATTTTACAGTACTAACTTACCTACAAGCATCATGTACCTTGTTCCATCAGCTTTCCACGATACTTTATAAGGATTGTCACGTAAGAATGTTAGGTTCTCCAAGTCCATACTAACTGGTTGACAGCCAGGAAACCCATTGCTGTAAACCAAAATATCTGAGTTTTTGTGCTTAATGCATTTCAAAAATTTTGTATTTACTTACAGCTGTTGTAAAAATACATGCATTAAAGTGTACCAGTTTTAAGTACCATAACACACAAACAGATATTACTCCATAGTTTGTCTCTAACATCTGAATGATACTATAGCCAATCCTAACATATTTACTACTATAATATCAGTTAACTATAAGAACATTTCCTGAATTAGGTTACATATGTCAATTACGTTTGTTCTCTATACAGTACAAGCTGACCTTCAGTACAATCCCAAATTATTAATCCAATCTTTCGAATACAGTATCTACTTAACCCCTTCCTTACCTCACTGCCCAGGTGGTATGTGAATGTATAGATGTAGTACATTTTAAAGTAAGGTACTGTATTAGAGCAAGTAGTAAAGAATGGGTTATTAATATTACCAAGTTTTTACAGTCATTTTACTTTTCTACTTCTTAAGTTCATCATACCATACATCATGCTTTAGTATTCAAAGCAGAAAATACAGTGGGACCAGGAGAAAGACACAGCTCTTGTATCCTAGTTGCCAAAAGGCAAATATGAAGCAGATCTTTTTGCTGGATGCCAAACCTATTTTTACGAAGTGGGAATTGGACATGACAAGTATGTTCTCGAAGCCCTCCACATTTATTAGGATATGTTCCTGGAAAACATTAAGATTATGGATACCTTGATTCATTGAGGGATAGGAGGTTAGGTTTCCAGGTCATACTGTACATAGGGAAAAAGAACACACATCCACTCTCTGTGACTACTGAGGCAACCTGGCAGACATTTAACTTGCAAAGGCCACAGCAAAACATAAAAAATCTAATTTGTAAAAATATTTAAATTGTATACTGACCATAATTTGCAATCTATGAATGCAGCTATGGTAACCCAGGCCTTCCTGTTTGCCCACAAAATCATGGATAAGCAGTATTTTGTTCTTCTTGAGTGCATGTGGGTTCAAGGTATAATACAGCAGCGCAGACTTAATGATACAATCTATTGAAGCACAAGCAAGATTATTTGTCTAATATCCACTGGAGGGGAGTCCTCGCTATACGCCGTATCAGTATATGGCATTTCACATATATGTCGCTAACAAATATAGGAAGAAATTTTCATTACACGTCAATTTCTTCACACACAGTAAAACCTCAATAAACTGGACTAATTCCAACAGACCTCAGCCTGGAAAATGCAAAAATCTGAGGAAAAAAAAAGAATCTATGGGAGTCCATGCTTATCTGGAATGTTTCCATAAAACAGTTGTTGACAACTGTTTACACTGATATGACTGTTTCATATTGTAAAGTGTTTATCCATAGTATAAAGAGTAGAAGTGCTTCTCCATGTGTACTGGGTAGGATTGTGTCACCAACCAGGACTGTCCAAACATAAAAATCCATATGGCGAGTCAGATTAAAAAATCACGAGTCCGTCAAGGGAGTGATAATTTTGCCTCATGCGAAAGTGAAGGAGACCTCGAAAGTTGAGCCTACAATTGTGAAAGGTTTTATATTGAACAGTTCTTCAATCTGCATGAGAAAGCATGAATATTGATTAATATTCATTAGCTGACTCACCGAGGCACCACCAACATAGGAATGGAGGCTGAGTGGATGTGTAGTAATTAATACTGTACAATAGTAATGAATAAATGAAGATTGTTATTGAAAGATGTCAACACAGGCTTTAAGATCAACACACATTCTGCCACAGAAAAATGGCAAGATTTTAGGTAAAAATAAATCAAACAATGGTGATGGTAATCCTCCCTGGAAGAGATCAAAAGACAAGCATGTATTGATTATCAATGTCACATGCACACACACACCACAAAATTTGCAGAAAAATCATTTCAATTTCCTAGTGTGACTTATGAATGAAGAAAATACTGTATACGGTACACTTGAGTGTACAGCATACAATATTTTCTTTACTGTACACTGGCAGTGTACAGTAATACAGTACCCTGTATAAAGAAATAATACAAGACAAAAAATTAAGAGTGTAGCGGTATATTGTGTATGGGAGAATATCAAGTCTAGAAATCACCAGAATATACAGGCACTTGTCAGGTGTGAGAAGGCTGTGACTGTGCCACTGTCACATAAGACACCACACATGTTGAGGAAATATCATTTCAATGCTCGAATGTGATTTAAAAACAAAAAAAATAAGAAAAATTAAGAGTGGGAAGTGAATAGTGAGGGGTAAGTGAGAGGTAGGGTGGATGGTGGCTGATCAACTCTTCCCTTGACCCCAGTTATACGACAATTTGCAGTTCCACCATAAATTCTCATATTATTTACATTCATTTGGTACCGGGTTAATAAAATATTATCATAAAATAATCTAATTTCCTGAAAAAATCTCACACCCAACCCCAGATGAGTTATTGCATTGTATTCAATTCCTGGTGCTTGTTTATAAAGCACGGCCAGCTGACCGTCATTGTCCTCCTTCCTAGCAGTGTTGCCAATGCTCTCCACTTATGCACCTCTGCTGTCAGTCCTCAAGATGGTTCCACAACAACTGTTTTGAACACTTGATAAATAATATTGAGGTGTATTTATCAGCACTTAATAAATAAGACTGTAGTGCATAATGCGTCTGCCTATTCACTGTTTTATAAATTAATCAGTCGTCTTAGTGTACAAGTAGCAAAAATGGGCCATCATGAATCACTCTAAGGTAACAAATAATGGTGTTAGGAATGTATCTCCATATCAAATATTATACAGTACAGATATGTTATAATGACCCCATTGTAAGCTAATTTGCTGAGCTTTCTAGATGTATCACTGTACATGTTGGAACACATATATCCCTAACTATATTAATTCTTATGGAGAAAAATTCCTCATGATAACATGTTTCACTACAAGTCATTTTCCTCTGGAACACACTCCTGACATATAATGAGGACCCGCTATACATGATAGCTGTGAACTACTAGACTGAACATCTCCCTCACAAAGGCATCAGCCTCACCAATGAACTGACATTATGTTCGCTCAAGTGTTTTTATTCCAGTGTTATAAATATTATAATACTGTGCAATTAAAAAATCCAGATGTGAAGGTGTCTAGTAATATGATACACTTTACTACTATATACCATAAATTGTAGGCACAGTAGTGTGAAGTTCTCCATAGAGTTTCCGCATACAGTACAGTACTTCCTCCGTAAGGGGCTATAAATCCTTCCATTTGTCTTTTTTGGCACATCCATCCTTATTCCCAGGGTTATACTAAATAACCATATATACAATAACAAACATATACTGTATTTAATACAATGCATTCCTAAGTTTTATATATATATATATATATATATATATATATATATATATATATATATATATATATATATATATATATATATATATATATATATATATATATATATATATATATATATATATATATATATATATATATATATATATATATATATATATATATATATATATATATATATATATATATATATATATATATATATATATATATATATATATATATATATATATATATATATATATATATATATATATATATATATATATAAAGCTTTCAATATGAATGGGTACATTAAATGTGCTTTCATTACCTTGTCCAACCACACATTTGTTGTATTCTTTTCTGGATGTCTTTGAGTTTGGGCTGTTGAGTGATTGGAGAGACTCCAGATATCCCCTCCATGAATGTTGGGTCCTTCTTGTTTCTCTCGCGTTTTCTGTTAGTTTTCACGGGATCACCATCATCATCTAAATTGCTATCATCAAATTCTGTGGGAGAATTGATATACAGTACTCTATACTGTAAGACAAAAGTGAAGGCTACCAAAATTTTTCTACTGTAATTCTTTTAACATGACCATATCATTTAATCAAAGCTTCTTTATGATGGACACAAACATGTTCATCTTGTACAATAAACCCAAGATAACTCAGAATATATGGGGTGCTAACCATTCCAAGTTATCAAGACACTTTCCTCCCAGTCTTTTGTCCCATCCCAATTCCCAACTTTTTAGGCAAAATAATCTACCATAATCAGAAAACTTGCAAAAATTTTTACATTTACCAGCAATGCAGGAAAAGGGTGACGATAATTCAAGCTTGTGGTGCCATGTGGTAGGTGTCAAGAGGTGATGGGAGGGCTCACTGCACCACAGTACAGTACAGTATACTGTATAGTATAATTCTGTATTGTTAGCACTTACAGCACCAACTCTACTAGTGAATGCCTGGGAGATGTTCACAGAACCCAGTGCAAGACAAAGAAGGATGCCAAAGTCAGCACTGAGAATGGTTATTTTTCAACTTGTAATTTCAGGGAGACATTCATAATTTTCTTCAATTCTTATTTTTTATTCTGTTACATGCACACACAAGCTTTCATATATGTAGGATGTGCAAAAAATATAAAACAAAATATTCATTCCAGTATAACTTCAATAAATCAGAGTAATTGGGGCAGACCCAAGTCCAAAAAATGCAAGTCTGAAAAAACAAATCGAGGGAGGGAGGGAGGGAGGGGTGGGGGTGTTGGAATAGCACTGCTTATCTGGACTGCTTAAAGAAAATCAGTTGTTGTTATAATGCATAATAAAGTTATTAAAACACTATTACATCAACAATAAAAAATATGAAACAGAACTCTGGGTTGAAAATCAGACTTCAGTCTGATTGCTGACAATTGTTTTCACCGAGATGATTGTTACAAACTGTAAAGTGTTATATGTAAGTAACCACATAATTTGTCTTATGAATTAAGAGAAAACTTTGCGCTGTACAGTAATATAAAGCTAAAAATTTGAAAAATAATCGTAGGAGTATATTGTGTATGAGATATGAGAGTGACCTGGAAGCAGCGGGTGGGGGGTGGGGGAGGAAGTGGTAGTGTGGGTGGGTGGCTCCCTCCCCCAAGATTCCTTTAACATGTCTTTATACAATTTCACCATAATTCTCATATAATTTAGGTTCATTTGGTGTCAGGTTGATAAAATATTGTCATAAAAGAATCAATTTTTTTTTAAAATAGAATCCCAAACTCAACGCCATGAGTCGTTTGTTTACAAACGGCAAACAGCCGATCGGCTTAACTCCTTCACCACTCATGCTTACCACAACATATGTCTACAGCACTTAGTAAATTAATACAGTACTGTAGTGTATTCAACATCACTTAATAAATACTATTACAGTGATACCTCGGTTAACGAGCGCCTAGGTTAACGAAATTTCGGTTAACGAATTACCTTCCATAAGATTCTTAACTTCGGTTAACGAGCAAACCCTCGGTTAACGAATTCCTTACGAATTTTTCCCAACATGTTTTCACCTGCATTTGGCTGCCCACCAGCTGTAGTATTAGTCTGCCAATACAGTAATCGATTCTAGGGCTTAAATTCCTTACTATTTTAGTAAATATCAGGAAGTTTGTACTATTCAATAATTTTAAAAGTCTTATATTAAAATTTTTAGTCATTTTAACACTCATTTAACACAATTTAAGTACAGGGAAACTACTTTTTAGCGTGCCAAACAGCCTGTCAACACACCATACAGGCGTCAGTCTCTGTGTCTTTTCACTGGAGGTAACATCTTGCTTCAGACTCTCTTCAACATAAATGGTTTTTTTCTGTGTTTCCAGTCAAATTATTGGTCATTTTGAAATTTATTTTACATATTGACAATATATAATGCAGTGCAGTGTTGATTTAAAAAAATAATCTTGAATTACACCAAGTGAACTAAAATTTTATGGGTGAAATGGCACCATGGGGTGACTTCTCTTCCACCCCAATGCCTTCTCTTCTCCCTTCTCCTCCACCCCCATTCTAATTCCCATCATCATCATCATCCAGGAGCATTCTACGTACACACACACACCTCAAAGTAAGTGTACTTTACTACCTTTTTTGTTGACTTTAGGCAATTTTCGGTGAGCTGGAACCAATTTCCCAAAAACCCATTGAAACAATGGTTTCGGTTAACGAATTTTTCGGTTAACGAGCAACTTTCTAGAACGAATTGTGCTCGTTAACCGAGGGACCACTGTACAGTGTATTTATCAGCACTTAAGTAATATTATCGTGTACAGTATTGTGCATCTGCATATACCCCAGTTTATTCATTAATCATTTGCCTAAGTGTACAAGTAGCCAAACTGAGCCATCATATAACACTCAAAGGTAATAAATAACATTGTTAGGAAGGTACATTATCTTCATATCAAATACTATACAGTGTGTTATAGTGACCCTGTTGTAAGCTGGTTTGCTGAAAGCTCTCACACGAACCCATCCTGAGCGAATACCTTCCAATACATCTTATCCTTTTATTTTCAAGTCAAATTACAACTTACATTTTGTATTTTTTCTCTATTATTGAAGAAGTTGATCATATGAGAATATAATACCGAATCAATTAAAAACTAACAAATGCCGCAACCCCCAATCACCACCCCGTCCCGCACGCAAACCCCAGTCTGGTTACATGCACAGTGTCTTAGCTCTCGTTTGGCCTATAACAAATTTGATTCGACTACTGTACAGTATTCAGTGAACAATTGTTCTTTTCAAGAAAATTGTTTTTTTTCAATTTTACCCATTTCTTAAAATAAGTACTGTATAGTAGTTACATCATTTTAACCCATTTTGTAAAACGCTTTAGTATCTCCGTTAAAGATAATATGCACTCGACAAAAAAAAAAGTACATGCTACAGTAGAAGTCCAAAAATCCGGACTGCTTGGGGATTGGGTCGGTCCGGATTTTCGGATTCTCAGGCAGTACTTTTAAAATTCAAATTTCAGGAGAAATAAAGAAGAGATGAACAGGTACATTTTGATAGTTTATTCATTAGCAAATATAGCATGCTTCATTTATCAAAACAAGCAGTTTTAAAGATAAAGCTGTGAATTCTAAAATTTTATTCTTTGCCTTTTTTATATCATAAATTGTAGACTTTCCAATGTCGTATGTTTCCATTAGAACATTATTGCTCACACCACGTTCTAGTTTCTTAATTATTTCAAGTTTGTCACTCAATTTCAACGTGTTCTTCTTTCTCTTCACACAACGAAGTTTATCTACTTTAGGAGCCATTATTATGGGCTTGTACAGTACTCTGTAAATGGAAAGAGTAGGATTCAAAATTACATACGTTGTCACAGTTTGAATGCTCGTTTTAAAGTGGTGACCGCGTGGTCGCTTGTTGTCGCTGTGCAGCTGTGGCGCTCACACATGCACACATACACACAAAAGCTAGCTAAAAAAAAAAAAAAAATAGAGTTTGAGTTTTCGAAAAGTCCGGATTCTCGGGTGGTCCGGATTTCTGGCATCCGGATTTTTGGACTTTTACTGTATTAGACATATGAAGGCAGAACTCAGACTGAGTCTGAGGCAGTGAGACACGTGCCAGACGACACCCACACAGAGATATTCGACCACACGTATGAACACAAACCACCCGGACTGATGCTGGATTTTCCAGCACCTCAGAGCCCGAAAAAAATGAATTCTGATACTGTACGGTATATTGAAGTCCGATGTAAAAACAATATTTCTAGTGCATTTTAAGTGAGCACTAAAGTACCATATTTGCCGGCATATAAGACGCACCGCTATTTTACAAGGACATTTTGTGGATTTTTTTTTTTTTACTAAGTTTCATCACACAATTATTGAAAGTGATTTTAAAGTGGTTTTGTAAGGGAAAACATTTGATTTTGTGCATGTAAATACAATATATACTGGAATCAAGTAGTTAATCATATATAGTAACATTATACTAACCCAACTCAACCTTTGATCAGAGCAGCTGTGTGGCTTGTTTATATTTTGGTCAAAAGAATTACCAACAGGATGTGAAATTCGTATTTTTGGCTGTGATGTTTTGTGTTGCCGCGATCTACCACCAGGGTGTAGCACCATCGCTATTGTTTAGGTGTCGTCAACTCATTACAAATGGCTGACTGGCGGCTGAACTTTCTGTTACATTTCTTTAATCTTTCTAGGGTCATTTTTCATTTAGATAAAAAACAAATGTTTCTTAAAGGTATAAAGGTAATACAGTCCTTAAATAATGTAAGACACGTATCTGGTGTAGGTTACGTATGCTGGGGAAGGAGGTACAGTGAGATGTTGTGAGCTTCCCTCTGCCGTTAAGCCAATGTAAGCCATTATTTACGTTTACGGCAAATTTGACGTAAGTTTGTGATAATTTGGCTTGTTTTTCAGTATTTTATTATGAGTAATATTATTAGTAACAAAATTTTTGTGCTTAGTGGACTACTGCTCGTCCCAGACTACCTAGCTAAGCACCTCCGCCTACGGCGCTCTGCCTCCCATCCATAATACAAGCGCATTAAACACGGGGTAATTTGGGATACATTAAAAAATAAATAAAAATGCGTCTTATACGCCGACAAATACAGTAGCTCATACAGAAATAAAAAGATTTAAAATTAAATTGATTACGAAATTCCATTTATGTAGTGGTCCCTCGGTTAACTAACACAATTCATTCCACAGAGTCGTTCGTTAACCGAATCCATTATTTCAATGGGATAATGGGTAATTGGTTCCAGCTCACAGAAAAGTACTGTACATACAAAGTAAAGCCAAAAATGCATAAAGTCAGAAACACTACTAAAATTCCCCTAAATCGCCCTTAAATCACTATACAGTATATATACATACATATGCACTCTTACTCTTAGATCACTACTGTACTGTAATGTGATACAGGTGATTAATTTGTATCTCTTGTGCAAAATATATGACATTTATATTCAAATTATTCGCTGTCTTGCAAGGATTCCAGCAATGCAAATTATATTCTCCTAACTTTAGTCTGAGATATTATATAAGATAAAAACTGGAAGCCTAAAACCCTGGCTAGGGAAAGGAGAGGGAGGGAGGGAGGGAGCAGGAGGTGAGGTGATATGTTTGAGTTTTTTTTTTTTTTTTACGGGGATTAGCCCACCCGGACACAGGTCACTGACCCACATCGAGGCCTGGGGGCGAAAATGTAATAATAATAATAATAATAATAATAATAATAATAATAATAATAATAATAATAATAATAATACAGTAATACTAAATAATTGTCATAATAATTCATAATAAATAAAATTTATGATTAAACAAACAAATATTAAATAATAAGATAATGATGATAATAATACAGTAACTGTAATAATAATAATAATTTTAATAATAAAGAACTATAAATACAAAAATGAAGAAAAGATCAAAAGTGAGAAACGATATAAGTATGTTGTGTTGTCAATGGTAAGAGAAACAATTGAGACCCTGCAATTGTGTGTAAATGAAGCAGAAAGTCAGATCAGCAACCTGGGACTTGGTCACCATTTTTGTGATGCCATATGGCAGCAGGGTCTACCATTAGACAACACATTATGCTTCCAATATCTTCCCAGGCGGTAGTACCTCCCTGTTTGGTAACTTCTCTCATTTTAAAATTCCAGTGAAATGACCTGGGAGAATATAATTTATATTGCTGGGATTCTTGTAAGATAGTGATTAAATTGAATATAAACAAGCTATAATTTGCACTAGACATAACAATTTTAGTACCATAATCATTTAGTACATGTACAGTACAGGTTTGCACTTAGGTCATTTATTTCTGTTACGTTTCTTTTAGTATGGTGTGTGCATGTAAATGAATGAAAATAAATTTAGAAATTTATGTAAATCTACCCAAAAATACAGTTGAAAAACTTTACATAACTAAAATGTACTAAACTAATGTACTAAAATTTGTATCTCTTGTGCAAAATATATGACGTTTATATTCAAATTATTCACTGTCTTGCAAGGATTCCAGCAATGCAAATTATATTCTCCTAACTTTAGTCTGTGATATTATATAAAATAAAAACTTAAAGCCTAGTGTATAACCACCAAACCCTTGCTGGGAGGGAGGGAGGGAGGGAGGGAGGGAGGGAGGGAGGGAAGGGTGAGTGACATGTTTGACAGTTAGCGCTGAAGGTCTAGTGAAGTATTTATTTGTTTATTTATGTCCTTTAGATTGAGTTTTTGTTTTTTGCTTATAAAATGTCATAGAAGTGACAGGGGAGAACATAATTTACATTGCTGGAATTCTTATAAGATAGTGATTAATTTGAATGTAAACACAATCGTTTGAACTAGACAAAAATTTAGTACGTAATCATTTTGTAAATTATTTTGATTACATGTACAGTACAGCTTTGCCCTTAAGATAGTGTGTGCATGTAAATGAGTTTCAATAAATGAATAAAGTTACATATATTGAACCAAATATAGTAGTTGAAAAACTTTATGTAGACAGAGCTTGGATGGCTAAATTTTAGAATGACAGATAATTTTAATATAAAAAATGCACAAATATTAAAGAGCACAATTTTCTTGATATTTACTCCACTGGAAACGAATATAAACATAGAACAGATTACTGAATTGGCAGACTAGCCCATCAGCTGATCAGCTGATGTTCACAACAAATCGTGTTTGTCGTAAAGATTTTGTTAATCAAAGTTTTGTTCGTTAACCGAATTGAAGATCCTTACCTTATGGGAGGTAATTCGTTAACCAAAATTTTGTTAATCGAACCGTTCGTTAACTGAGGGACCACTGTATAAGAAAAGCAAGGATCAAGTGACGAATGTAGTTATCAACCCAAGGATCCCAGCACCCCTGACATGTACAAGTGGACTTAATTTCAGAATATAGTCTCATTTTCTCCACTAACTGTGGCCCATAAAAAGATGGAACAGTACTGTACTGCATAACCTTGCATATGAAAACAATATGAGGCAGACACCTGCTTGTAAATGCAAGAAGTTTACTTCACTGAAGTTTTAAATTGTCACTTACCTTTACACCAATCTGGAAGTTCTGGTGGTGGTGGAGCTTCATTAGGATCATCCCCTGATCGCTCATAAAGTGTACGTATGTAGTCACCCTTGTAGATGCCTGGTTCTCTGTTCACACATAAAATGATAATGATATTCTTAACTGCAATGTCTTACTTTCCATCTGAGCATTATGAAGAAAGAAAAACTTTGAAATTCTTAACCTGGTGGAATTATTTAATTATTGGGTTTTTTTGGGGGGGAGGGGGGGGGGGTGGGGATTGCAAAAGATTGAACTCAAAATACTGTATATATTCCCACTGATATAAATTTGTAATTAAATAATTTGCATGGCAGCATCAGCCATGGAAAACATGTCATTCATTAATCTAAATCTTAACTTCAAGTAGTTTTCCTTGAGATATTCTATTTCAGGGGTCCCACAAGAGGATAATATGAGTACCTGTACTATACCCTGTACTTATGACTTGACATCTTTTAATTAGTTTTGCAATGCTAATTACTCACCACCTATGATATTTCACAGGCACTTTTTGGTGTTTTAGTGTCATTCTGAATGTACTTAAGTAGTCAAACACATTAAATTCCAAATCAGAAAGAAGAGGGGTTTGCTGGCCAAAAGATCATTTATACCTGTACTGTATTGTATCGTTTGACGTAATCTTGATAATTTTTATTTTGTTCAAAATCTTAATACGTACTGTACTGTACAGTATAAATACTCCTGAACATGCTGATTAAGGGCCAGGGGGCAAAAATTTTATATGTGGGCAATTACTTGTCCTAATGACATTCTTCAGAGATAAAGATGAAGCACTGTAATAAAAAACTAACATAAGAGTGAAAATTGAGATGCAAAAACAATGCCAGTGTTTGAACACATATCAGAGCTGCAGTTCTGCTTGACATAGCTGGGGCAGTGTTAGCTGAGAGTGGGGTCTCCTAATATACTGTATATAAACACTTCCTTCCCTCCCACCCTCTCCCTATGACCTCTCCCTATGAAGACTAAGTATCAAAAGAGGCTAAATGTTGAAAATGACATGCAGTGTGCTCTTTCTTTGACCTCACCAAGAATTCAAATACTTGTGGACAATTTACAATGCAACCCTCCCATTAATTCTACTAGAAATACAATTGAACTTCTAGAAATATACATGTGTATTGAGTTTGTTTATTTGGATCTAGAAAAACAATAAAGGCAGTGAAAATAGAACTTGAAAAAATATTTCTTTGTCCCTTTGGGGATCAGGAGGCCACCATGTATTCAAGGTTCATCATGGGAGGGGGGGCTCCAAAAATTAAAAACCACTGGCTTAAAATTCAACAGCACTCATGAGAGATAATGTAATCATAGACTGATCCTAAAATTTCAATTTATAACCAAGACCACTGGTGACTCATGTGAACCAAACCTCTGGGTTATGAGTCCAGAAAAACACTTATGAAATTCAGCTAGGTACTACCAGTAACTGCTAAGTATTTATTAAACCGGAAATTTGAACATTCTAAATATGAAATTTAAGTACAGTACTGTATATACATGAATTTCTTTTATTTAATTTTCCACATATTACCTGAAAGTAAATGAGGAGAAAATGGACACTCAGGCAACTGGCTCAGTGAGTGTGTGTGGTGGTGTGAGTGATGCAACTATGTACTTGCCTCCATTTGAGTTTGAAGAGTAAGCAATATGGTGATAGTAGAAGAATGATGACATACTGAATACTTACATGTGCTAAAGAATTTTTTTTAGTGTACAGTACCGTACATGTATTTGACAAAACTAATAATACTGTACTGTATAACCAAACTTTTCAACAACAGCATTACCAGACCCCTATAAAAGAGTTCTTTGAGCCAGTCATTTCCATTTTAAGAAGAAGGGCTTTTGATTCCTGCCACATGTGCACTATACAAATCCTCATTCCTTTGTCACTACAGTAACAATGGATTGTTTGGGCTAATCAGCCCTCAGTATTAGTCGCCTCATACGATAGTCTTGGAAGGCAGGAGGGACTCTTAAGTCATCCATTATTATGTCTGTCCAGAGCAAGGGATGAAACAAGTGAGAATGGATGCCCCAAACCTTTTCTTACCAGAAGACAGGTACTTAATAGGGAAATAGAAAATACCTTATATAGTGCTCACGAAAGTCATCAGGCAAAGAGTAAATAGGAATAAGAAGTGGCAAAGACTGAATGGATATTTATGCCAAGAAAGCCATCATGGCAAGGTGCGCACTAGCTAATATGATGTCACATGCTCATTTAGGTGTCCTCACTCGAGTGACAACTTTACGATCAGTCCCACCACTAATGGCAGATATCCTGGGATTAAATCAAAGTTTAGTGTAGTACTTACGAGTATACTCAAAGCACTTAGTGATAAGTGGCTGGCCATAAAAAGTGACACATACTGTGCCCCAATACTGTAGTGTTATATAAAATTTCTTACCTTGCTTTTGCAAACTCATTAACAGCAAGATCAACACCCCAGTCTTCTTTCATAATAAAATAAGACGCAATCAAAAATCCACTTCGGTTAAAGCCATGAGTACAGTGCACAGCTGAAAATAAAAACAGAACCTTAAAATCACACAAAACCTGAGATATCACTTAGGTACTTCATATTTATGCCATATTTGGATAATAAAATGAAAAGCAGATAAACAAAAAATCAATTCAAGTGAAAATTAAATTTTGAGTGGAAAGTAGTTTACAATACAGTACTCTCCCCATTAGCTGGAATAATTGGTGCAGAGCTCTTCCGGGTTTGAGATATGTCAGGGAACAAGACAACTCTCTCAAACCTGGAAAAAATCTCACATACCAGAATTTTTCTGGGTACAGTACTAGAAAAAGTTTCAGAGCTTAAACTATGCATCTCGCAAAGACAGAAACTATCCCACATCCCTGGAATGTTTCTGGGCGCTGGGCAAAGTTTTCTGAGAGTCTAAAACTGTCTAAACTACGCACCTCATCTCACACAGACAAATACTCTCCCATTACATTTAAGTCGCAGGCAATAGCAAAAATATTTACAGTTAGTGAAAAGTGTACAATCATTTATTCACAGCATCTGTTCTAATTGTGTTAAACAATGAATTTGGTACCATAATAATCCTGAATAAATTCTCAATAAAGCCGTTTCAATATATGAACAAAATATTTTGAAACGATATAATAATGGGGACTCAATTCTTTTATGAACAAACGAAAAAAATATTGATACCAGTTCTAATTAAGTTAGAAACATAATATTTTACCTAAATAATCCTGAATGGTTCATCTAAAACAAATTCAAATATATATACAGTAAACCCTTGATAACTTGGCATTTGATAACTCGGAATTTCAAATAACTCGGCATGGATATGGTCTTGGAATGTGTGAGTATAACTCAGGAAATGCCGAGATATGTAAAATTATCAGGGAAAATCTTGGCATATCTGGCCACCTGCATCACCTACCATGCCTCTGTGTCTCCTACTATGAGGCTTCATTCTTCACCTGCAGTGCTAGTAAGTGTTACCTTTTTACATTTAGTAATTAAATGTACACACATATGTGGGTCAATAATTTTTTTTTTTTGGTAGGAGGGGGAGGGAAGTGCCTTCATAAGTCGGAATTTGTGATAAATCAGCAAGGCCAGAGCCCTATATGTGCCGAGTTATCGAGGGTTTACTATATATATATATATATATATATATATATATATATATATATATATATATATATATATATATATATATATATATATATATATATATATATATATATATATATATATATATATATATAAACTGATACAAATGTGCGAGACATGAATGGAGCTGTCACACAGCCAAGACAGTGGAATTCTCTATCATGTATTGGGGAAAGTTTTCCCGAGTCTAAGGGCATTTCACACAGACAGAAGAACTGTATTTACTTACACAAAACACCACTGTACACATACACTATAGTATTATAAATAAACAAAATAATGTATACTACGACTGTACTATATATTCTGCACTTGCCAGCAATGCTGTTGTCCTGAGCTTACAGTAGGTGCACACTGTCCACTCTACTGAATCTAATACGTAACTGTAATCAATTTTTACATCTTAACACTTGTGATGCGGGTGTGGTAGGGGATTAGCAGGTCTCATGTTACTGACCTGATACAATGTCAGGTCACCCATTGTACATAAGCTCTTCTCTCAATTGTGGTGGAGGTGGGCTGGGGGATTAGTGGTCTCATGTTACTAACCTTCTGTTGCAATGTCTGGTCACCCACTGTTGGGGTGGAGGATTCATGGGTCTCATGACCTGAAGAATGATGTCTTGAAAAAAGATGAAAGCTAAGGTGCTCCAATGTGTCCCTTTTCCTGTAGCTTTGGTACTTTCACACTTACTGAATGTACAGTACAGTATATGTAACTGTTATCACTTTTTATGTCTTAACACTGCTTGAACATTGTATTCTTAGCTTGTACAATGGTAGAGGACTATGAAGCAAGTGCTTCATGAGGCAAGGCTTAGAGGAGATAAGCTGGGAGATGCATCAGCCTATCACAGGCATTTTATACAGTCATATGACAACTTTAGCAAATTGCGGAGTGCAAACCTATGCCCAAGTTACCCAAAGGGTCTTCCCACACCCACACACACCCAGCAGCTGAGGACATGGCGGAGCACGATGCAATCTTTCGTAACTTCCAGAACCTTTCTTCCCAGGCAAGGAGCAGAAAAGTTTGGAGAGATTTTCTTAAAATTTTTCCAGAAATTGTGCATTATTTCATCCTTAGAATTTGTTCCCAGACCCAGAACAAAATTTGGGGAAAGATTTTCTGAAATTTTCTCAGAAATTACAGCTCATTTTCAACCACAGAAACTTGTTCATTGACCCAAAATTCAGAAAAACTTTCTGGAAAAATTCCTTGACAATTTCAATTTGGAGCGTTCAGGGGACCAGGGAGATGGCTCTACATGGGTGTAAAGCCCACACATTATCAATACGTATGCAAATAAATCACTGTAAGAGAATTTATGAATAGGTGCACCGTGCACACCATTGTAATACTGTACTGTACTAACTTTAGCTCCATTTGAAATGAAAATGACATAATATACAATAAGGTAAACCTTAAATTTTCTTACAAGTTTCTGACCCTAATGCACTTAAAATGCATTAGGAGGGGCAAGGGCTGGAATTTCTTTTGTTCTAGAGTATTCTAGCAACAATTAATATTATGATCTACTATTTTATTTCTTCAAGTGTTGTACTTTTATTAGTACAAATCTGTGCATATGTGTATCTGTACAGTACCTTTCCATACCATAGCATAACATAATCTACTATAGATTAGGTTGTACCCAGGTTACTGTTAGCAAATGTGTCTCTGCTTGTGTGTAAGAGTATTTATTGAGCATACAAGAATAAAGTCCAGTATGGTATGTGTGTTTATGAGTGGCTCTGTTTAAGTCTGCACAGGCAGACCCTAATTTAAGAAAGGGTTGCATTCCTGAAAAGCCACTCATAAAGCAATGCACATTTACTCATACTCCCATTATTAAAGCTGAGATATATTTGTTAAGAAAAAATCCCAAAAGGTCTTAAAATCTTCCAAAACACACTACTGTACTGTACTAACAAATGGTGAACCACAAATATTATATGACAATAATTATAAATATAAGTGAAATACCTGTACATGCAGCACAGTACAGCATAGTATATTTTTATTTCTGTATTTACAGAGAAACCCAACAAGATCTGAAGCAAAGTGAACAGTATGAAATGTTATGCCAACATCTATAATGATATTATCCTAGTAATACATTCACTCTCATGATACAATTGGAGGTACAGTACATTCTTAAAGAAAAAAAAATCCCACGATCAACAACTGATGAGTTATTGCGTGATCCTAAATTTCCCATTTGTTTACAGTGCAGTCACAGATATCTTGAACTATGATAACACTGGGTGCCCTCTTTACATTATATTTTTCTTTCATGGTGCCTTCAAATAAACACCAAAGTGGTAGATCTGAGTCTAACAGTGCTAAATGGAAACATAAGTGCCAAGTGGAAAAAATAAAGATGGAATTTCAGTTACAACTGGACCAAGGACAGTTTATGAGGAACTAAAAATTCCATAGCACTGAGCTGTGGTTACTTTTTTTATCTCTTTATTTCTAATTAATTAACAAAACACGTTCAATTAAGCCATCCCAGTATTTACTGATATGTACAGTACAGTACTGTAAGGAAATATGACTTGTACTGAATAAAAAGAAAAAAAAAAAGAAATCTCGTTGTAAAGACTGCTTAAAGCAATGATGGTGGTGCATGAAGTTTGTGAGGAATCCGCTGATTAACATGATGTTTTTAGCAAATGTATGGCTTGAGATAGGCAGATTAGAACCTAACCACCACAATAACATCGTTCCAATGAGGAATAATTAGCTTTAGGCTTGTCGAACTGCCTTGTTTACTGGTCGTTCGGTCTGTGACCCATTCATTACCTGGGGTATTTTTGTACTAATATAGTACGTACTGTGCTTCTGAGTTAACAGAACAGGTCTAACAAAGGATCAACCTGGTGACCATCATGACTATGACAGTTGATCCCAGAGTCTGGCTACGATGCTTCTTATTTTTATAGAAAGGTGTGGTAATTAAGATTGGTGTCGATCTCATCTCCTGACGAGGCTACTTCAAGTACCATGGCCATAAAATGGTGATGATGATGGTAATAAGTAAACAGCTATAGCAAGGACCATTGATATTCAACTTTATTTTGCTTGAATATTCTGAATGGAAGTACGAAGCATGCCAGTACAGTACTAAAACTGAGAAGAAAAATATTCTCATGCAATACCGTAATATGTATCTTACTCACCGATGATTTCAAGAGGATTTTTTCTAATGAATTTGTCACATATGTCAGTAAATGTATTAACTTGGTCTTGATTTGGACATTCACCATGTCCTCGGCACTTGAGCTTCAAATAGCGTGTACCTTCCTTCTCAATATCTTGATTATCATAAAACCTTGAAGTGTTTGTCAGATCTATCCACAGTCCAATTTTCACCTGCAAAAGTTAAGATATCAACTCATCAAGTGCATCAGACTTATAATTTTGATACATATCAAGAGATACCACACAATGCTTACCTTGTAACTTTTCATAGAGGCAAAGAGCATGGCAGGAGAGAACCTGTGTTCTGGAGGAACTTGGTCATCAAACTTGGAGCTGAGAGGAGTTTTAAATGCCAGAAATCTCTTGCCAATAAGATGATGGCTCTTTCGTGGGCACATGAGCCACCTTGGGGGGATTAGTCCTGGCCCACCTCTGTCGCCTCCTCCTCCACCTGACATCTACAATGAGAAAAATACCAAACAATCAAAAGCTTCAACGTCTTGCAACAGTCCATTGGATCTAATGTTAAGAATCACCATGAGTTAAACATAGTACTGTACATAATACAGTACGAAATGCATTCAGCCAATCTTAGAACTACACATGACTCAATGCAATAGAGGCCTGGAGCTGGGTGATGCATCAGACTTCTCCCGGGCAAGTGACTTTTGAAAATTGACTTGCCCAGATTTGTTTTTCTTTTTTAATATACCGGTATGTAACTTTCCCTGACACATTTTTGGAGATACAGGGTACTTTTTTTTTGAGTCAGTTTGCTTGCCAAGATTTCTTTTTTATGTGAAAAGTTATTTAAGCAGAATTATAAATAAACTCAGTCTCATATACAGTGATCCCTCGGTTAACAAGCGTCTCGGTTAACGAAATTTCGGTTAACGAATTGCCTTCCATAAGATTCTTCACTTCGGTTAACGAGCAAACCCTCGGTTATCAAATTCCTTACGAATTTTTCCCAACATGTTTTCACCTGCACTTGGCTGCCCACCAGCTGTAGTATTAGTCCGCCAATACAGTAATCGGTTTTAGGGCTTAAATTCTTTACCATTTTAGTAAATATCAAGAAGGTTGTACTATTCAATAATTTTAAAAGTTTTATATCAAATTTTTTAGTCATTTTAACAATTAGTGGACATAATTGAAGTAAAGGAAGCTAGTTTTTTGCACACCAAACAGCCACTCAACACACCAAGCTTGGCATCAGTTTGTTTACCAGTTCAGAGGAAGGAACATCTTGTTTGAGACTCTTCAACATAAACGCCTTTTTTCTGTGTTTCCAATCAAATTATTGGTCATTTTTAAATATATTTAAAGATATTGGAAGCATAATGTGTTGCCTAATGGTAGACCCTGCTGCCATATGGCATCACGAAAATTGTGACCAAGTCCCAGGTTGCTGATCTGACTTTCTGCCTCATTTACACACAATTGCAGGGTCACAATTGCTTCTCTTACTATTGACAACGCAACATACATACTGTATATTGTTTATCACTTCTGATATTTTTTTTTTTCATTTTGTACTGATGGTTCTTTATTATTATTATTATTATTATTATTATTATTATTATTAATTTATTTTCAAATTAGTTTTTATTTTATTATAAATTTCATTTACCATGAATAATTATTATTATGATTATTATTATTTTTATTATTATTATTGTTATTATTATTACAGTATTATTATTATTATTGTTATTATTACAGGGTATTATTATTATTATTATTATTATTACATTTTCGCCCCCGATGTGCCTTTGTGGGCTAGTCCCCGTAAAAAAAAAAAGGTGAACTAAAATTTTATGGGTGAAATGGCGGCATGGGGTGACTTCTCTTCCATCCCAATGACTTCTATTCTCCCTTCTCCTCCACCCCCATTCTAATTCCCATCATCATCATCAACCAGGAGTCTTCTACATACACACCTCAAAGTAAGTGTACTTTACTGCATTTATTTTTAGTTTGTAAGTAATTTTCGGTGAGATGGAACCACTTACCCAAAAACCCATTGAAACAATGGTTTCGGTTAACGAATTTTTCGGTTAACGAACAACCTTCTGGAACGAATTGTGCTCGTTAACCGAGGGACCACTGTATATGTATAGAAACCTGCTTTATATCTGAGATGGAATTATGTAAAGCATTTTAGAATCACAGCCTCTTTGAAATTCATTTTAGGTACAGGTACTATATGCAAAGAGCAACTGACATCTAACCGAAAGGTGGGGGAAAAGAGAGGGATAACAGGGCAGTCTAGGTGAGGAGGGTGGTCAAGGTGCTAATGTACACAAGAAGATCAAAGGGAAAATCCGCTGTCATGGCCACTGCCATCTGACCTGACCTGACTTCACCTCACCTCATGAGACCTCTAAGTATGTGACCACGTGGTGTCTCCCTACACCCACACCCTTCACGACTCCACCCATACCATACCCTCCACCCGCACAACTCTTTTACTATGGCTAATAATTAATTAATTCATTTAAAAATAATATTATGACAGTAGTTTGGCACACATCGAAACTCTTTGTTTGTTTGTTTGTTTGTTTGTATGGGGCATGAAACAATTAAAAAAAATTCAATTCTATTGGAGTAACAGTATTAGAAAACCATACTTAAATAAAAGTAAAATTGCTAAAACAACTTAGTACTTTTTAAAAAGTAAACACTAAAAATTTTACTTAAGTACAGAACTCAAGTAAATTTATTTTGTTACTTTACAACTCTGATGAATTAAACTTCCATCAAAACCCAGTCTAAAAAGATACATCTTAAGTAACAATTAAGCAATAACAGTAGGAATCAATGAACCATTGTGTCAGACATGCAGTTTAACCTTCATTCAGCTCAGCCATAGTGGGGTTGTCAGTCTTCAAACTGTTCATTTCCACTTGACTTTAACCAGGACCAAACATTTACCTTCTGAGGCCTTAAGTTACTGGGTATGTAAAGTTTAAGAAGCCCCATACAAAATTTTTATAACAACTCTGTATATTATCACTCACTCTGAAGGGGCACTTTAAGTACAAGTATAAGAATGAAATTGTTATACAGTACAGTATTTACCTACAGTACTGTATGTATATAGATAGAAAAGTAAAGGTAAAATAATAATTGACTGAATGTCTTTTTGCATTAAAAATAGGTATGAAGGACAAGGGAAATTGTGTGGTAAAAACATGGCAAAAAACTGAAATGACACTAAAAAAACTCTCTACAGGCTTTGTATGCAAAGAAATTTGATTCTTACCATAAGCATTTCACTGAAAAAACTGCCCTGGCCAAGTAATGTCCTCCAATCGTAAAGAAATAAATTCTGAATCCGATCTACCTTAATTCGTCAATAAATGGCTTTGGTTCCTTAAATATTGACTTGAAAAGCTTATTTTTTTCTTATTTTTGCCTTCATTATTCATAGGCTTGAAAAGCTTCTTTTTTCTTTTTTTTTACTTCATCATCCACAGTCGAGTCTATGATCTGTGCAAATCCCATATATTTTTTTCTTTCCGTGCAGTAAGTTCTTAAAGCTACTCTATTTATAATTGATGAAGATCCTACTGTTGAAATTGAAACCCATATTATGGGTAGGTTTCTTTGGTCAGGTTGGTGAGGTCTTCTAAAAATGTTTCTGCCCCTTGTTTCTCTTATCAACTAAGGTTAAGTTTAATTTAAAAATAACCACTCTTTAACACATTTGCCAAAACTATGAGTGTCCACCATAAAACAGTGAAATTGCAGCGTCTTTAAATTCGTTTTCTATGAAAAATCAGCAGCAGGTCCGGCGTCAATAATTACCCAGATGGCTAACACCAGAACGTGTTACTCGGTTTCGTTTATTTTTTCACAGATGTTCTTTGGATGATAGTAAGTAATGAAAATTATATGACAATACATAGAACCTAATAGAACCTTACCTAACCAACCAAAGAAACCTACCTTACCTAACGTCCTAGCTGTCAGGCTCCACCCTTCAGACACCCCGGCATATTAAACAGAATGAACTTACTATGATATAGTATAATTTTACATTTTTTTGTGGACGTAAGAGCAGTCGACCAGACCCTGTGGCCCATAAACATAGACTGGCGACTGGTGTCGATTGGAAATGATTGGCTGTGTACTGCCTCATCACTGCCGAGGAAGACAAAGTACGTAGTGCGAACTTAGTCACCTAATTATCTACCAAAGGAAGCAATTTCCAAGGCATTATTACCGTTTCAGGTATCTAGCGATTTTATGTTATTTTAATTTTTTTAATCAGTAGTTTAGACAATTTTAAGATATTTTTCTTCTATGGCATTTTGCTTGCTCATTAATAATTTCAGAGAAAATTGCACTACATTTTTGGAAAATCTACACATTTTTCCATAGTTAATGTTGATGTTAACACTGTCCCGGAGAGCTCTCGTGTTTTCATCTGTTGGTAATTAGGTTGAATTACGCATGCACTAGAGTCTGACACATGCGCAGTTGTTCTTTGCAAGAATATGACACGTTCATTGGCAGGTATGATTTTGGATCAACCAATCACAGCTCGTTATAGGCCCCCCGCCGCAACCCTCTTGAATTTGAATTTACACTGCTGGCAAGCTCTACTCCCCTCAGTCGGAGAAACAGCGGCCAGTGTGACCTGTGGATGACGAAGAGGACGACCCCAACTCATAGTCTTCTGAGTCTAATTAAGGTAAGCACTACTACTGATTCCAAAACTTATAATCCTAAAAATCGCTGGATAACCTCAATGCTAATCTTACATAGGTTAGGTTAGATTAGGTTTGGTTTGGTTTTGTTAGGTTTTGGTGTCAGATTCGTTCAAAACACATAAAAAACACCGGAAAAACATAATTTCAACTTCAAATTTTTTTTAAATAAAGATTTTCTATTTACTTTTTACAATTTTCTTTTAAAGTAATCATGGGCAGGCAAAATGCCAAAGAGGTTTAATATTGACAACTGACCCACAGACGAGTTATTTGTTTTACTGTTTATTTTCTTACTCTCTTTTCACAAGTGAGTTCTGATATGATAATCATTTCTTGCGTAAATGCTTCATTTGGTAGATAATTAGGCACCTAGGAGCACACAACTTTGTCTTCTCGGGGGTAATACGGCGGTGACGTCTCATCCCAGGATGTAAACAGCCAAACATGTTGACATATTTCAAAACACTCCACCGCCCGGTACAGATCAACACTGATGCTCAGTGTATGTTTATGAATCGTTTGGTACAGGCGGCTGCTCTCACGTCCACAAAAAATATAAAATTACACCATATGACATTATGTTCTTTCTGTTTAACCCTCTCAGCCTCGGAGCCTGAGACACATATGTGCATGAAACTTACGCTCAGCCTCAGAGGTTTTTGCCGAAAAATCATTGAAAAAAAAAAATATTAGGGCTCATTTCACTGCCATGGAATTGTTTTATTAATAGTAATAGGGTCTCTTCTAGTGTAAAATTGTCTGAAAAATTTGTATGAAACCATAACAAAATTTAAAATTCTTGAAATTTAAGCCACTTTTCTCGTGTATAAGTTGAAAAGTAGGAAAATGTTTAGTAACATCTCGATTTCCATTCACATTTTCTTTGTATTATGGTGTTCATTGATATGTACTATATACCAAAATAAAGAACAAAGCATGTAGAATATCGTGGTAAAAGGAAAAATAATATAACACAAAAACTCATGGAATAATTAAAGGGCCGAGCGGCGCACCCTCCTCTCGCTCTAGTGGCCAGAGCGACACTGGCTTCATGCTGGGCTGCCATACACATGATGACCAAGACCGTCTTGGGGAAGGTGATAAGGCCCACACAAAGAAATGACATCTGTCAAATGGTGTCCAAAGTTCAGTCAGTTTCAGTGAATAGTTTTCGAGTTATTTGAAAATATAGTCAATTGGCGTCGCGAGGCTGAGCGTAAGTTTTTTTGCCTTTTATGTTTGACACCACAATGGCGTCGTGTGAGGCTGAGAGGGTTAATATACCAGGGGAGTGGAACCCCCCTTCTAGGAAGTTTGGTAAGGTTAGGTGTACGGCCAAAATAGCCGAAAGGTGAAGATGCCAGTATTCTCCAAACAAGCCAAGGTTAGGTAGGTTTGTTTGGTTAGGGTGGTGAGGTCTTCTAACAATGCTTCTTCTGTGTGTTTTTCATATCAACTTGGGTTAGGTTAGGTTTAATTTAGAAATAACCACTTTTTTACACAATTGTACAAATGCACAAACTATGAGTTTTCACTATAAAACACAGTGAAATTGTGGTGTTTTTATATTCGTTTTCTATGAAAAAATGGCCATGGGTCAGTTGTCAATAATTACAGAAATGTGTCTTAGAATCGTCTAAACTACTGATTAAAAAAAAATTATTAAAAATCGCTGGATACCAGAAACGATACTTTTACCATTACCAAAAAATTATTATCATATCAGAACTCACAGATGAAAATGTAGTAAGAATATAAACATAGAAACAAATAATGCGTCGGCAAGTCAGTCATCAATATTAACTGCCATCCATTCCAGGATTTTTTTTTTTTTTACGGGGAATAGCCCACCCGGGCACAGGTCATTGACCCACAACGGGGCATAGGAGGTGAAAAAATAAGGGTAAAAAGAAATTAAAAATAGAAGAGAAAACAACTACTGTATATTAATATATACCACGAAGATGCCGGAAAATCATCTTTTTGAAGGGAGACATTGTATGAGTATGGAAACACTGTGTACCTCCAACTCGGCCCATCTTAAATAACCAACTCGGCCGACACATTACTAAATCGGCCCATCTTGCACACTTCAAACAAGTAGCTGAGTAGAGGTTTAGGAATGAACTTGAGATATGTTTTATGTCTCTTTTGGTTCACTGAAATACGAAGAGTGTGAATGAGTGAATACCGAGGGTTCAGTTTGAATAAAGGACGAAATTTATGAGTTTATGTTAGTAGAACCATGAACCATGATTCACATTCATAACTTGTGCTTCTTCAGGTGATTTTGAATAGGGTTTGAAATTATTGCTTCCAGCAATTTGCCTACAATTGATGTTAAACTGATTGGACAGTAGTTACAGGATAGTGATCTATCTCCGTTCTTGAAAATCGGTATCACATTCGCTATCCAGGATTCTGGCACTACACCCGTTTTTAATGACATGTTAAACAAATTTGCTAAGGGCATACTAAGTTCTTCCTTACATTCCTTTAATACTCTGGCAACTATCTGATCGGGACCTGGTGACTTATTAGGCTCTAGCTTACTATTTGTTTACTAACATCGTTACTAGACACTACTATCTCGCTTAATCTATTTTCTTCACTATCTCTGTTTATAGTCAGTTCCTCGGCTAACATGTTTAAATTTTCGGTGGTGAAAACTGTTGAAAAATACCTATTCAGATTATTGCTTGTTTCTCCGTCGTTATCAGTTAGCTCGCCGGTATCAGTCCAATCTTGTCTCGTGTTTTATTTGATACTTTTGAAAGAATCGCTTGGGGTTTAATTTCGCCTCCCTTGCTACCTTCAGTTCATTGTTCCTCTTTGCATTTCTTAGCTCGGTCTTAACCCTACTGGCCAATACCTTATATTAATCTCGGAGGTAAACTTTACGATTAATTCTCCAACCTATAGCCTTCCTTTGGCCAGTAATAATCTTTAAATAGTTATTTATCCATTTGGGGTCATTGTTATTTGATCCAAGTTTTCTGTATGGTATGTTCTGCCTTTGTGCAGTAAGTAACTCATTATTTAAATTGTTGTGAAACTCGTCAACTTCAGATCTCGTGATCAAGTCTCCAGGTAAAATGATCTTAATTGTGAATTACACGAAAGCGCTTGGGAACTTCGTGTTTTCTTCTTTCCTTGTGGTTATCAGCATATACCTAGATCACGCGCACCTACAGTGATTTACTTGCACATATATATATATATATATATATATATATATATATATATATATATATATATATATATATATAAGAAAAAAGATCACCTCTTCCACGTATGTACATTAATATATTCATAAGATAGAATGGAAAGATAAACAACAACAAATCAATTCCCCCCCCCTCTCCCTTATAGTCTACGTTGCTTTTTATCACTGTATTTTTATCATTCATGAAAAAATTTGGAAACTTTTACTTTTACTTTTTAGTCAGAGTTCGTTAACCTAAGTGGTCCGAGTTGGTTATCCGAGATGGTCAAGTTGGTATTTGATAGTCCAAGTTGGATATGGGCCGAGTTGGCCTGTAACCTGGAAACACAGTTTGGCTGTGTGAGGAAAGAAGGATGTACTATAATGGGTTATTCTAGTGTGACCGACATCCACACAGAAACGGTGGGCACAGTGGGCAAGACGCGTGTTACGAGCCCACGGCCTTTCCAGCGGTACACAGGATGCCAAATCCACCAGACATTGCCCAAAATTTTAAATTACACCATGCCAGAAATCAAAGTATGGTAATTTTTTTTTCTGCATGATATACCAGGGGGTCCAGGTTAGACATGCTGGTAAAGTTAGGTAAGTTTCTTTGGTTAGGTTGGTTGGGTCAGGCTCATTTATGTTCTGTGCATTCTCGTTTGTATTCAGGATCATGGTATTAGTATCTCCAGAAATTTTGGCTCAATTCCATAATATATTTCTGGTGCTAACCATTTTCTCCAACATTAAGACAATTACACATAAATACATATACATATATATGACTCAGATGATCATAATGATAATATAATGGAAACTATAGGTAATACCTAGCCTTCATTCAGTATTTGCCACTACCAGAAGGTGTCCGCTAACACAGTTCAAAATGCAACGACCAAAACCTTGTTATCTTATATACCAGTACTTATAATTCACCTCACATACCTCTGAACTATTTTGTACACTCGATGAGATTATATAAATATATTCTGTATATATAAGCGTCCCAGTAACAACTTTATACGAGCACTCAACTCAGCTTTCCAAACCGGGTCGGTTAAACACCACTTAGTTCACCTTTATCTCAATAACAACAGAAGCTTACGTAAGATAAATACAAAACCAACATTTACTGCATGTTTATACAATAGTTTTGTAAAATATTTAAATTATTTTATTCACTATATCATTAAATTACAAATATTTCCACAAAAGACATTTATATTATATATTTCCATTCAAATTGAATCATTTTAGTTTTGTCTAGCGGCTGTTAGTTTACTGGGAAAAAAAATGTGGTTCCCAGACGGGCCTTGGGGTGTACAGGAAATATGATGATAACCACAAGGAAAAAAGAAAACATGTGGTTATCAGCATATACATGGATCACGCGCACCTGCAGTAATTTATTTGCAAATACACACACACACACACACACATATATATATATATATATATATATATATATATATATATATATATATATATATATATATATATATATATATATATATATATATATATATATATATATATATAAATATGCAAGTAAATCACTGTAGGTGCGCGTGATCTAGGTATATGCTGATAACCACATAGGAAAAATTAAAAACGAATTTCCCAAGCACTTTCGAGTAATTCACACTTCAAGGGTGGAGTTACAACCCTCCCTCTTTCATTTTTTTTTTATCCTCTTCGCCACTGATCAGCTTGTTAGCGATCGGTCACGTCTCTGATTGCTTTTCCTTTTCTTTTATCCTCTTCACCAAAAGATCGGCTCGTTAGCCGCCTGGGCAAACTAAACGCCCTGGCGATCGGTCACGTTGTGGGGTACGAGTTGTTTGGGTTCACACTCAGGATGGGATGGAGAAAAGAAACTCACAAAGTGCTCTCTGTATACATGTTGTATTGGATGTACAATGCAGCTTGGTGCTGGGAAGTGGCAGCGTGGTTACAAGCGTGATGTAGAGAGAGCTGGTTGGTGAGGGTGCTCAGAGGAGGACCAGCTTGTGGGTCGCCATGCTCGCCGGCGGGAGCGAGGGCCGCCAGGCAGGAGCAGAGTAAGTGGTGTTACATGAAGACTGGCTGTAGGTTGAAAGAGAGAGGTCACCACGAGGTCAGGTCTTATATAGCGGAGGTAGACGTGGCTTAATAGTTGACCTCCGTGATGTAAGGCGGCGCTGGTTGACCTAGACGACGAGGCATACACTGGGGAATTTGCGGGGTCGGCTACTCAGCGACAAAAGCGTTTGTAGGGGAGGGATCCACTACAACGTCTCTGTCACGCACTGTTGGCAAATACTGGGCATGCACCGGCTCCTGAATGTACCTGAACCCGCTCCAGTGTTGGTCAAGTCTTGTCTTGAAAGAGCTCACACTCGGTGCCGTCACAACACTTTCTGGTAGATTGTTCCAAGAGTTTACAACCCTCACTCCGAAAAAGTTTGCCCTCACAGTTTTCTGGACTTGCGGCTTCTTCAATCTTGAACTGTGACCCCTTGTGGGGCGAGCGTCCACCAGCTCCAGGTAAGGACACTAGACTGAGTAGTGCCCCCTGAGATGCTTATACACCTCAACTAGGTCACCCCTTGCCCGTCTGTAGTATAAGCTAGGCAAGTTCGGGCGCTCCAATCTCTCATGGTAGCTGAGGTGCCGAAGTGCAGGCACCAGTCTGGTGGCCCTCCTTTGAACATTTTCAACCAACTGACAGTCCCTAGCATATCTCAGGGACCAGACTGGGTGACAGTACTCCACATGGGGAAGCACTTCACTCTTGAAGATCGTTACGAGGGACGGATCGTCTAGATATGAAAATCAAACTGAAGGGTACGGAATTCCCTAGCGTGGATAGAAGACTTACATGACCGCAAGCAATGTGTGGTGATTAATGGCACGAAATCGTCATCTGTACCTGTAACAAGTGGGGTACCGCAGGGTAGTGTATTGGGCCTGTTGTTTGTTTGTTTCATTGATATGCCTGACGTTGTACACTCCTCCATACAAATGTTTGCCGATGATGGCCCGGACTGTGAACTTCAGCTGGCTGCTGAGATTCAATGTCACGACATACACACGTACTATGTCCCAACGTCCTGTCCTAGGTCACTGAAGTTCATTGTCTCAACTAGATATCTAGACAGTTTCTTCATCCCGTTGGGACATATGATACGCCTCCTTTTACCATTGGTACGGTCCCCAGGTGCATCCTCTTACACTCCTTACCATTGGTACGCCCCAGGTGCATCCTCTTACACTTCGTGACATTGAATCTTAGCAGCCATTTCTTCGACCATTCTTGGAGCCCACAGAGGTCCTTCTGCAGCTCTTCACAGTCCGCTTGGTTCTTCATTTCCCGAAATAACTTGGCTTCATCGGCAAACATTTGTATGGAGGAATGTACAACGTTAGGCATGTCATTTATGAAACAAACAAACAACAGCGGGCCCAATACACTGCCCTGTGGTACCCCACTTGTGACGTACGGATGACGATTTCGTGCCATTAATCACCACACACTACTTGCTGTCATGTAGAAAGTCTTCTATCCACGCTAGGACATTTCCCCGAATTCAGTACTCTTCCAGTTTGATTTTCAGCCTTTCATGAGGTACATTGTCGAAAGCCTTGGCAAAATCTAGGTAAATATTTTCGATATTACTGCCCCGTTTCAGAATATGGGTCCAAATATCCAACACCTTGAGCAATTGTGTTAAGCAGGAGCGCCCGGCATAAAACCGTGTTGGCAATCCTTTACAAGGTTGTTTCGTAGTAGATGTTCCATTGCGGCATCTCTGATAATACTCTCAAGTACTTTACATATTATGCTGATCAGGCTCACCGGTCTATATTTGTTGTGGAGTGACGATCGCCCTTCTTGAAGATAAGACTCACATAAGCCACTTTCCATTCACTGGGGACCTTTTGTTCATCCAGGCATTTACAAAACAGGATCTTCAGGGGCTCGGCAAGCTCGTTGCACAACTCTCTTAGCACTCTAGGATGCACCATGTCAGGGCCGGGACTCTTATGGACCTTTAGCCTGGACGGTTTATTTCTAATACCCTCTTCTGTGAACACAATGTGGGTCAGTGCTGTGTCGAACCGTCTGTCCACAAACGCAGGAAGGTTAATTGCATCCTCTCTTGTGAACACTGAGGAAAAGAAGATGATCAATGCCTCAGCTTTATCCTGGTTAGAATCTGCGTAACTACCATCTTCAAGCCTCAGGTCTGATACTCCTACTCGTGTTTTCAATTTCGACTTTGCATAGCGGTAAAACGCCTTTGGGTTTGACTTGATCTCGCTTGCAACCAACCTCTGGAACTCCATTTTAGCCCTTCTACACTCTCTCTTTGCTTGGTTTCTGGCTCTTGCATACATCCTCCTGTCCTGCTCATCGTTTGACCCAACCCACATCTTGAATTTCTGTTTTTCTTTCTTAATTCTGTCAACCGCCGCATGGTTCATGTGTAGGGATCCCCTCGTTTTCCAGGAGGCACTGGGTTTGGTCTTCGGTATATATTTATCGATCAAATGGGTCACTTTATTGGTTATGATATCCAGTGTAGTGTCTGCGTTCTTGTGCTTTAATGAGTCAGGACAGTTGATACCTTGTCGTGGATTCCTCCCCTACAAACGCTTGTCGCTGAGTAGCCGACCCCGCGAATTCCCCAGTGTATGCATCGTGGTCTAGGTCAACCAGCGCCGCCTTACATGACGGAGGTCAACTATTAAGCCACGCCTACCTCCGCTATATAAGACCTGACCTCGTGGTGACCTACCTCTCTCTTTCTACCTACAGCCGCAGCAAGCAACACCTCATCCTCCACTCCTGCCTGGCGGTCCTCTCTCCGGCCGGCGAGCATGGCGACCCACAAGCTGGTCCTCCTCTGAGCACCCTCACCAACCAGCTCACTCTACATCACGCTTGTAACCATGCTGCCACTTCCCAGCACCAAGCTGCACTGTACATCCAATACAATATGTATACAGAGAGCACAATGTGAGTTTCCTTTCTCCATCCCATCCTGAGTGTGAACCAAACAACCCGTACCCCACAACCTCTCATCTCTTCCCTCATCCCGTTGCAATTTCCCTTGTAATATTTGCGCCTTGGCCTGGCCTTATCCTGAACTAGGTAACAGTTAAATCTGAATGACAACACTATATGGTGACTGGTGCCAACTGGGGCAAGGTGTTCCAGTTTGGCCACCATACCCTTCTCGTTTGTTATGATGAGGTCAAGTGGCTTGGGTGTTTACTCCCCTCTGTAATATGTCGGGTCTCTAACACGTTGGAACAGAAAATTATCTCTCAAAGTTTCTACAAAAAGAGTAGCAGGGTTATTCAAGTCATTTGGGGGGTGGACTCGTTTCTCCAGTCGATGTCGCCATAGTTAAAGTCCCCCATGATAAGGAGGTGGCTAGGATTGAGCATCGCCGCGTTGTCTATTAAGGCTCTTAAGTTCCTTTGATTTAGTGGGCCACAGTTTGGGGATCTGTAGATACACCTGACAATAAGTAAGTCTCTTCCCTTTATTTTATTTCTACACCACTTGGACTCTTCAAAAACATCCTCTCCCTGTACCCTCGCCTGGCTGGCTCTAAGGTCTTGCCTAGCATAAATAACCACACACCTCTTGCAAGTTTCTTGAGAAAGGTTCGTAAATGAGTCATATCCAGCAATACTGAAGTCAAATTCCTCTGGATCGATTCTCCTGTTCTTGTACAACAGTTCTACAACTCCTACAATATCTGGTTGGTGTACTTTCAGTAGTATTTCAAACTCCTCTCTCTTATCAAGAAACGTGTCAGTATTAGTGTACATGACATTCAAGCCAGAATTTGTTCTCGGTAACGTCTCCACTCTTAGTAGTAACCCTGTGGGGTATGGTAGTTTGTGTTCACTCAGTATGTGATGGAGGAAGGAGACTCACAATGTGCTCTCTGTATACATGTTGTATTGGATGTACAATGCAGCTTGGTGCTGGGAAGGCAGCATGGTTACAAGCGTGATGTAAAGAGAGCTGGTTGGTGAGGGTGCTCAGAGGAGGACAGCTTGTGGGTCG